GGGCCGTACCATGCGTTCATAATTGAGGTGAAGTGTTTGGACCGTACCATGCGTTCATAATTAGAGGTGAGTGTTTGGGCCGTACCATGCGTTCATAATTAGAGGTGAGTGTTTGGGCCGTACCATGCGTTCATAATTAGAGGTGAGTGTTTGGGCCGTACCGTGCGTTCATAATTAGGGGGGCCGTACCATGCGTTTATACGTAGATAGGTGAGTGTTTGGGCCGTACCATGCGTTTATACGTAGATAGGTGAGTGTTTGGGCCGTACCATGCGTTCGTAGGGGTCCTCCGTATCGGCAGCCCTGTAATGGGTTAGTGATGGGAGACTCTTGGGAGACACTGGGTCACGCTGTAATGGGTTAGTGATGGGAGACGCTGGGTCACGCTGTAATGGGTTAGTGATGGGAGACACTGGGTCACGCTGTAATGGGTTAGTGATGGGAGACACTGGGTCACGCTGTAATGGGTTAGTGATGGGAGACTCTTGGGAGACACTGGGTCACGCTGTAATGGGTTAGTGATGGGAGACGCTGGGTCACGCTGTATTGGGTTAGTGATGGGAGACACTGGTCACGCTGTAATGGGTTAGTGATGGGAGACACTTGGGAGACACTGGGTCACGCTGTAATGGGTTAGTGATGGGAGACACTGGGTCACACTGTAATGGGTTAGTGATGGGAGAACTGGGTCACGCTGTAATGGGTTAGTGATGGGAGACACTGGGTCACGCTGTGTTGTAATGGGTTAGTGATGGGAGAAAACTGGGTCACGCTGTAATGGGTTAGTGATGGGAGACACTGGGTCACGCTGTAATGGGTTAGTGATGGGAGACACTGGGTCACGCTGTAATGGGTTAGTGATGGGAGACACTGGGTCACACTGTAATGGGTTAGTGATGGGAGACGCTGGGTCACGCTGTAATGGGTTAGTGATGGGAGACACTGGGTCACGCTTTGTAAGGGTTAGTGATGGGAGACACTGGGTCACGCTGTAATGGGTTAGTGATGGGAGACACTTGGGAGACACTGGGTCATGTTTGTAATGGGTTAGTGATGGGAGCACTGGGTCACGCTGTTGTAATGGGTTAGTGATGGGAGACACTGGGTCACGGTGTTGGTAATGGGTTAGTGATGGGAGACACTGGGTCACGCTGTAATGGGTTAGTGATGGGAGACACTGGGTCACGCTTGTGAATGGGTTAGTGATGGGCGACACTGGGTCACGCTGTAATGGGTTAGTGATGGGAGACACTGGGTCACGCTGTAATGGGTTAGTGATGGGAGACACTGGGTCACGCTGTAATGGGTTAGTGATAGGAGACGCTGGGTCACGCTGTAATGGGTTAGTGATGGGAGACACTGGGTCACGCTGTAATGGGTTAGTGATGGGAGACACTGGGTCACGCTGTAATGGGTTAGTGATGGGAGACTCTTGGGAGACACTGGGTCACGCTGTGTAATGGGTTAGTGAGGGGGAGACACTGGGTCACGCTGTAATGGGTTTAGTGATGGGAGACACTGGGTCACGCTGTAATGGGTTAGTGATGGGAGACACTGGGTCACGCTGTAATGGGTTAGTGATGGGAGACGCTGGGTCACGCTGTAATGGGTTAGTGATGGGAGACACTTGGGAGACACTGGGTCACGCTGTAATGGGTTAGTGATGGGAGACACTGGGTCACGCTGTAATGGGTTAGTGATGGGAGACGCTGGGGTCACGCTGTAATGGGGTTGTGATGGAGACACTGGGTCACGCTGTAAATGGGTTAGTGATGGGAGACTCTTGGGAGACACTGGGTCACGCTGTAATGGGTTAGTGATGGGAGACACTGGGTCACGCTGTACTGGGTTAGTGATGGGAGACACTGGTCACGCTGTAATGGGTTAGTGATGGGAGACACTGGGTCACGCTGTAATGGGTTAGTGATGGGAGACACTGGGTCACGCTGTAATGGGTTAGTGATGGGAGACATTGGGTCACGCTGTAATGGGTTAGTGATGGGAATGTCTATGGTTGCTAATGCTGGAGACCTCCATCCTAATATCAAGAGGTTTAACGTCATCTAATGAGTCTCTCTATTTTTTTGAACTGTAACCATAAAGCTATATATGACTTAGAGAGGTGAGTGTTTGGGCCATACCATGCGTTCATAATTTGAGGTGAGTGTTTGGGCCGTACCATGCGTTCATAATTAGAGGTGAGTGTTTGGGCCGTACCATGCGTTCATAATTAGAGGTGAGTGTTTGGACCGTACCATGCGTTCATAATTAGAGGTGAGTGTTTGGGCCGTACCATGCGTTCATAATTAGAGGTGAGTGTTTGGGCCGTACCATGCGTTCATAATTAGAGGTGAGTGTTTGGGCCGTACCGTGCGTTCATAATTAGAGGTGAGTGTTTGGGCCGTACCATGCGTTTATACGTAGATAGGTGAGTGTTTGGGCCGTACCATGCGTTTATACGTAGATAGGTGAGTGTTTGGGCCGTACCATGCGTTCGTAGGGGTCCTCCGTATCGGCAGCCCTGTCTAGTAGCTCAGCGTACTCCAGCTCCTCACACATGTGCTGCAGGGTGTTGAGGGGCTCGTTGAGCTCCACAGGCATGGACACCTTGGACAGGTCCTTCCCTATGTTGTTCCTCAGAATGTTCCACAAGTTGATGTTGCTGCAGTCCGGCGAGGGGGCGGGGAGACACGGGCGCCGCCCGTTACGGAAGGCACGTCCAGCCAGGTCTCCGTTCGGCACTGAAACCAGAAGTACAGTGCTGTCATGGAGCATCCTCAGGACTCATGACTGTCTGAACTACAAGGCTTTGTCAAATCCTAATCCTTGCATCTCATAATAGCCACAGGTAGTTCATGACTGAAACACAGTCGAAGGATGAAGGGTTAGAATAGGAGACAGTCTGCCTGTGCAGAAGAGAGGGAGACCCTCCTGCACTTTACACTGACAGCTTTCATAAGCCCAGAGTGCAGCTCTTGGCACACGGTGAGGCCTGCAAGGTCAATCCCTGCCTCACTGATAAATGACCAGGCCATCACACAGAAAGGGGGGGGGGGGGGGGGGGGGTCAGCTGGATCCCCTCAGCAGGTTCACCACCACCTCCATCACATTAGCCCCCCCCCCCCCCCACTGTAATGGAAGGAGAGCTAGGGAGGACCTACTTTGTCTGGAGACGTTATCAGTCACGCTGGCATTGTCTTCTGAAATGTTATCGCTCACATCGCTGACGTATGACTCATCGTCTGAGGCCTAGAGGGTTAGAGGAAGACAACAGAGCCCCTGAGTCAGTGGCTAGTAAACTGCCTTCAGTGCTGGCGCTCTCTTCTCCCTCGTTCTGCAGTCACCACAAATTCAGACCCTGCAGCATTTCCACTTTATATATAGTAACATACAATGAACTCACTGACGGTGCCAGAGAACAGAAGATTGTGTTTGCTGGCAGTAATGGCCTCTATTGCAGTACAGTCGGCTGCAGGAAGAGCCTTTTTTGGCCAACAGCACTCTGCTGGTTTGAATAGGACCTGGCACCTGAGGCAGAGGATTTGGCCCTAGACTGGTGATGGACATCCTTGGTGAGTAATCCTTCAGCAGGACTCCAGCTAGCAGCACTTGGTTTTCATACCTGGGGAGCAGCCAGACAAGCCTGAAGGGTGATGGCTCTTATGGGGCCATTTTGACTGGTGCTCGGTACTCATGGCATTGAGCCTGTCATGGCAGTGTGTGAGAAAAGCCATCTGTGGCTTAGGAACGGACAAACCATCAGTCTGGAGGATGAACCATGTCAAATCCATAAAGAAGGGCGTACCATTGAAAACCTGGAGTTGGTGGGAAATCATAGGGGACAATGGCATGAGACATTGGACAGCAGCATTATAGACTGGAGAGCCCCTCCCCTCCCCTCTAGTTGGTCAGACTTCGTCTGAGTTTCTGTTGCGTGTTATCTCTCTCCCTCACACTCCTTTTTATTAATGGCTGACTAACTCCAGCGCCACTCGGCCGTGCTTTATCTGAGCTCCGAGCACTTCGACAACCGAGCAACCGAGCACCCCCCTCCCCCAGCCCTCTCTCACCTCGTTCTCTGACGAGCTGGCAGACAGCAGCACTTCCTGGGCGTCGAAGAACTCAGACACAGACTCTGACATAGACAGCCTGCTCTCATTGGACGTCTGTTGAGTCAGAGGGATTCCCCTCTGCTCCCCACCCTGTAAGGAAACAGAGAAACACCAATCAGTACAACGTCTTTTACTAGTGACTTTAGGAGGTGAGACGACATAGAACTGCACTGTGTCAAAGTGGAGACTTTATCCTTCATATATCCTGGTAGGATCACATTGTTGTTCCATCTTCATCCTTCATATATCCTGGTAGGATCACATTGTTGTTCCACTGACCTTGACGTCAGGGTCAGCATACCTTAATGACCAGTGAGCTCACCTGCCAAGATATACTGGAAGCGCCATCCTTATTTAAGGACAGGAATCAATACTCTAATTGGTAAATGCAGTAAAAGCAGAGAATACAATGTTTTCCAGTTAACTAAAGCTACGTGGCCAGCTCTACAACAGCATGCGTAGCACCACAGAGGGGACACTGTTTTTCCCTGACCTCACCTGGCAGCTACCAGCCGGCTGCAATAAGCACACTCAGCACTGCAATGGCAAGTTCCCTGCAAGTCAGGGACAATCACAACAAAACAACGCCTTGATCCAGTAGAAGACGTAGCTAACCTCATCAGGACTGGGGATGATGTTCACACTGACTGTTTGTTCAGACGGGACCGACTCAGAGTGGATGCGGCCCAGTCTGGTTTTAAGCTCAGCGTTTTGGGACAGGGCCTGAAATGAGGAGAAATACTGATCAATCACTAATCAATCAGCTGGAGGAGAAGGGTGCAGAATGGAAGAGAGAACTAAACAGATGAGCGGTACAACTGGATCTATGTTGTGCAGCTCTCCATTCATTTACACAGAACATCTGAGGCTTCCTTTTACTGTATATATGCTACTGGCACAATGAATGGACTTATTCTGTGATAATGAGATGAAGTAGCCTAAAATGTCCTCTATAGAAAGACAAATTACACTGGTACAGTACTGGTCTGTACTGGTCTGTACTGGTCTGTACTGGCCTGTACTGGTCTGTACTGGCCTGTACTGGTCTGTACTGGTCTGTACTGGCCTGAACTGGTCTGTACTGGTCTGTACTGTAACAGTCCCCTAACAGGACCCTGAGAAGAGCTTAGCAGCTACCTGACCAACTTTAGCTGCAGTAAAGGGCATGTTGACATCACGACAATCCTCTCTGTAGAATACAAGTAGCAACCATACATACATTACTGTACCATTACATCTGACTGTGCCTCCCACATACGATACCATGACTGTAGCCGCCTCCACTCTACCTGATGTAAGCTCACTACATGGCCATGACTGAGCTACATCCCCCACTGATCATCCATGAATGATAGCTAAATGCCTCCCACTAGAACCATGACCCCACTAATACATGACTGTGCTACAACTGGATCTACCATGCTGTGTTCAGCTCCCCCCTCCCTACATAAACATGACTTGTTCACATGACCACTACATACCATGACTGTGCCAATACATGCGACCCCCCACTACATACCATGACTGTAGTCACATGCCTCCCCCCCCACTACATTACCATGACATGTAGTTCACATGCCCCCCCCCCACTACATACCATGACTGTAGTTCACATGCCCCCCCCAACTACATGACCATGACTGTAGTTCACATGCCCCCCACCCCTACATACCATGACTGTAGTTCACATCCCCCCCACTAATACCATGACTGTAGTTCACATGCCCCCCACTTACATACCATGGACTGTACTTCAGCTGCCCCCCCACTACATACCATGACTGTACTCACATGCCCCTACGGCCCCCACTACATACCATGACTGTAGTCACTGCCCCCCCCAACTACCATGACTGTAGTTCACATGCCCCCCCCCCACTAACATACCATGACTGTAGTTCACATGCCCCCCCACTACATACCATGACTGTAGTCACATACCCCCCCACACTACATACCATGACTGTAGTCACATCCCCCCCACTACATACCATGACTGTAGTTCACATGCCCCCCCCACTACATACCATGACTGTAGTCACATGCCCCCCCACTACATACCATGACTGTAGTTCACATGCCCCCCCCCACTACATACCATGACTGTAGTTCACATGCCCCCCCCCCACTACATACCATGACTGTAGTTCACATGCCCCCCCCACTACATACCATGACTGTAGTTCACATGCCCCCCCCCCACTACATACCATGAACTGTAGGTCACATGCCCCCCCCACTACCATACGTCATGACTAATGTAGTTCACAGGCCCCCCCCCCCAACTACATACCATGACTGTAGTTCACATGTTGCCCCCCCCCCCCCCCCACTAAACATACCATGACTGTAAAGCTCACATGCCCCCCCCCCACTCCATACCATGACTGTATGTTCACGAATGGCCCCCCCTGCCCCCCCCCCCCACTACATACCATGACTGTAGTTGCCCATGGCCCCCCCCACTAATACCATGACGGTAGTTCAATGCCAGCCACATGCCCCCCCCCCACTACATACCATGCACTGTATGTTCAGCCATGCCCCCACCCCCCCACTACAGACCATGAACTGTAGTTCACATGCCCCCCCCCCACTACATAACCATGAACTGTAGTTTCACATGCCCCCCCACTACATAAACGATGACTGTAGTTCACATGCCCCCCCCACTACATAGCCATGACTGTAGTTTCAAGAATGCCCCCCCCCAGCTACATACCATGACTGTAGTTCACATGCCCCCCCCCAGCTACATACCATGACTGTAGTTCACATGGCCCCCCCCCACTACATACCATGACTGTAGTTCACATGCCCCCCCCCCACTACATACCATGACTGTAGTTCACATGCCCCCCCCCACTACATACCATGACTGTAGTTCACATGCCCCCCCCCACTACATACCATGACTGTAGTTCACATGCCCCCCCCCCCCCCCCACTACATACCATGACTGTAGTTCACATGCCCCCCCCACTACATACCATGACTGTAGTTCACATGCCCCCCCCCACTACATACCATGACTGTAGTTTCACATGCCCCCCCCCCACTACATACCATGACTGTAGTTCACATGCCCCCCCCACTACATACCATGACTGATTCATGCCCCCCCCACTACATACCATGACTGTAGCCCCCCCATTACATATGATTGTAGCCCCCCCATTACATACTGATGTGTTAAGCCCCCCCATTACATATGATGTAGCCCCCCCCCCCCACTACATATCATGTCCTCTGTAGCTCAATGGTAAGCATGGCGCTTGTAACGCCAGGTATGGTTCGATCCCCGGGACCACCCATACGTAAAAATTTATGCACACATGACTGTAAGTCGCTTTGGATAAAAGCGTCTGCTAAATGGCATATGATATTATATTATATGACTGTAGCCCCCCCCCCACTACATACCATGACTGTACCCCCCTCCCCCCCCCCAATTCCAATTACGTTGAAAAAACATAAGCGCGGCTTGTTAACTAAGCGGTCTTCTTTCCCATCTCTCATCAGATAGTGATGAAAGTGACTGCTATGAGTCAGCAATGTTTTCACTGATGGGTCATTACCTTAGTCTCACTGTGTGACTATATGAAATTAAATCAAACTCAAGCAGTGATGAAATTCATACCATTCCATTGAAACCCCTCATCTCTCCAGCCAGTACATTTCATGTTTCAAGTACTGCATGGAATATTTAAGGTGGTGTAGTGTGTTCTGACAAAAACAACACTATTAACCATTTAGAATGACTGTTCCCAGTGCAGGGGGATTATGGGTACTGTAGTAGGAGAATCCTTAATGAACACCTGCCGGTCTCACCTGTGACAGAGACTTCCTGAGGGTGATGATCTGGGCAGACTGCTCCTGGTCTGACAGAACTGTTTTGATCTTCTCCTTCTCCATGGCAACCGTGTTGAACGCAGACTTCAACAGAGAGTGGACTGCAAAAGACAGCAACCAGAAATCACTTTAAACACACCCTCTGGTTACTTACAACTCTTACTAATGGTTTCCCTATACTTGTAGGGTATGGACAGGGTAAAGGGACGTGAACGGGGCCGGATTGATGCAGGATCTCACCGGGGCTGAAGCCTCTGAAAAACAATACAAACATCAAAAGCGAGCCTTTTCGAAAAAAGCTTTTTCAATCGCGTCTGTGTCCTGTGGCTCCTTTACTCTCCTTCAAAAGGGGCTGTATTTGGTTTTGTGTGTCGGTTGTTCGGGGAGAATGATAATAACATGTCAAAATGTGCGACTTGTACTAGATTCAATGATTGAAAACATGCAAATGTGAGCATAACCGAACGTGAAGGATCAAGAAGGCCCATCGCAAATGCATGCTGACATGGATCTCAAGGACTGCAGAAAAACGGACAAATTGACTCTGGGTTAAAATAACAATTTGAGACCGAGTGCCAGTATTGGACTGATATCCTTCAAAAGGGTGGTGACTGTTATAACATTTTTGGCAGAGCGTGGATCAGCTTTTAGGGGAGTCAACTGAATATTTGGTTCCATCTCAAATGGCAATTATTTGGGTATACTTGAAGTTGTCAGTCAATTTGATCAATTTCTATGTGAACACATTGCAAGATAATGGGAATGCAGGAAGGAGAAACCCATCTTATCTTTCATCTACCATTTGTAACGACTTTGTGCAGTTGATGGGAGAGAGGATACTCTCAGAAAATAATATCGGAACTTAAAATAAGTAAATATTGACCACCCCAGATGTTTCCCACGTTGATCAGCTGACTTTTATAATGAGATATGTCTCACCTGATGGTTGAGTCCAGGAGCGTTTCATAAATGTCCTTCCTATAACCAGTCACACATGATAATCACTTTGCTACTCAGTTCTGGACGTATTACGGGAGATGGACATTAGTATTGAAAACTGTAGAGGTCAATGTTATGATAACGGCCAGCAACATGTCTGGGATTTACAAAGAGCTGCAATCGCGCATATGAGAGATTAACCCATTGGTAGAGTGGACGCCTTGTGCTGCAATTACTTTGAATTTGGTTGGGGAAAGTACTGTGAACTGCTGCCTTAAGACAGTTGAGTTTTTCACGTTTGTGCAGTCAGTATTTAACTTTTGCTCCAAATCCACTTGGCGATGGCAGATTGTTACATCCAGTTCACAACCAAATGAAAACAGCAAAATTGAAACCCTCAAATCTCTTTCCGTACGAGGTGGTCTGGCCATGCACAAGACAGAAAAGCATTATTCCTCAATTATGCCGATGTTAGTCAGTCTCTTCTAGAAGATCAAACTCTGACAACGAGTATCAAGACTAACTCTATATACCCAAATGGATAAACTTGAGATTTATTTTCTCTGTAACTTGTGGAACACAATACTCCAAAGTTTTTCAGAAGACAAGCACTGCACTTCAGGCAGTCCAACTGGAGCTGTCTAACGCTGTTCGTTGGGTGGCCTCAGAGACTTTGTGGCTCCGGGATCAGTATGAGCTGTGAGGCAAAAGGAAAGGACATCACCACGCGTTTCAACGCTTTACAAACCTGACACACAACGACAGAGAATACGAAAAAAACACGGCGATGAGTCGTCAGAGGCAGAGCCTGACTGTTGTTTATTGATGACAGGTCAGCAGAAATTTGCCGTCGGTGTGTTCACTGTTGTGACACACTTATTGCCGAGCTGCACTCAACCTTCAGAGGAAATATCAATCTGACCTGATCTTTTCAGATGATGTCGTCCAGTTTAAAGAATGTATCAAAAGTGAGAAAAACACATCTGCCAGGGCATTGCTTCACATGCGGAGTCAGAGGAATGTACAAGCAGTGTTTCCCAATGTTGACATTGCCTTGTGAATATTCTAGACTTTACCTGTTACCAAAGGTTCAGGGGAGTGTCCCTTTTCAAAGATGGCTCTTATCAAAAAGAGATCAACGATGGGACAGGAAAAACTGAACTATTTGACTTATGGCTCTTGCACTTGATTTCAAGGACATTGTTGCAGATTTTGCTGCTCGGAAAAATGAGGAAGAAATCATTTTAAGGTAAGCCATGATGACACTTTTTGTAATAAATGAATGCACTGCATAAGACCTAATGCTTGTCCGCTGGAGACGGCTGGGGAGGCCAGCTGAAATGGCTGAGGCCGTGTAGGCCTGCGCTCTTGTTTTCTTTGTGATGGCTGTGCGTATGGTAACTGTCCGTGGTCCTGAATCACTGTGCGTATGGTAACTGTCCGTGGGCCTGAATCACTGTGCGTATGGTAACTGTCCGTGGGCCTGAATCACTGTGCGTATGGTAACTGTCCATGGTCCTGAATCACTGTGCGTATGGTAACTGTCCGTGGTCCTGAATCACTGTGCGTATGGTAACTGTCCGTGGTCCTGAATCACTGTGCGTATGGTAACTGTCCGTGGTCCTGAATCACTGTGCGTATGGTAACTGTCCGTGGTCCTGAATCACTGTGCGTATGGTAACTGTCCGTGGTCCTGAATCACTGTGCGTATGGTAACTGTCCGTGGTCCTGAATCACTGTGCGTATGGTAACTGTCCGTGGTCCTGAATCACTGTGCGTATGGTAACTGTCCGTGGTCCTGAATCACTGTGCGTATGGTAACTGTCCGTGGTCCTGAATCACTGTGCGTATGGTAAACTGTCCGTGGTCCTGAATCACTGTGCGTATGGTAACTGTCCCGTGGTCCTGAATCACTGTGCGTATGGTAACTGCCCGTGGTCCTGAATCACTGTGCGTATGGTAACTGTCCGTGGTCCTGAATCACTGTGCGTATGGTAACTGTCCGTGGTCCTGAATCACTGTGCGTATGGTAACTGTCCGTGGTCCTGAATCACTGTGCGTATGGTAACTGCCGTGGTCCTGAATCACTGTGCGTATGGTAACTGTCCGTGGTCCTGAATCACTGTGCGTATGGTAACTGTCCTGGTCCTGAATCACTGTGCGTATGGTAACTGCCCGTGGTCCTGAATCACTGTGCGTATGGTAACTGTCCGTGGTCCTGAATCACTGTGCGTATGGTAACTGCCCGTGGTCCTGAATCACTGTGCGTATGGTAACTGCCCGTGGTCCTGAATCACTGTGCGTATGGTAACTGCCCGTGGTCCTGAATCATATGTGACCATGTGGTACTGCCCTGTCTGATCACGTGCTAGGAACTGTCTGTCTATCACTGTCTATGGCAACTGTCGTGTCCTGAATCACCTGTGCGATGTACTGTCCGTGTCCACACTGTTTAGGTAACTGCCTGGGTCCTGATCACTGTGGTATGGTACGCCCTGCCTGACACTGTGCGTATGGTAACTGCCCCGTCTATCACTGGGTATGGTACTGTCCCTGGTCTGAATCACTGTGCGTATGGTAACTGTCGTGTCTGATCACTGTGTGTATGTAACTGCCCGTGGTCCTGAATCACTGTGCGTATGGTAACTGTCCGTGGTCCTGAATCAGTAGTGTGACCATGTGGTCTAGCCTAGGTCACGCAACTGTTTGTTATACACTACATGACCAACAGGATGTGGACACCTGCTCGTCGAACATCTCATTCCAAAACCATGGGCATTATTATGGAGTTGGTCCCCCCCCCTTTGCTGCTATAACAGCCTCCACTCTTTCTGGGAAGGCTTTCCACTAGATGTTGGAACATTGATGCGGGGACTTGCTTCAGTCAAAAGAGCATTAGTGAGGTCGGGCACTGATGTTGGGCGATTAGGCCTGGCTCGCAGTCGGCGTTCCAATTCATCCCAAAGGTGTTCGATGGGGTTGAGGTCAGGGCTCTGTGCAGGCCAGTCATGTTCTTCCACACCGATCTCGACAAACCATTTCTGTATGGACCTCGCTTTGTGCACAGGGGCATTGTCATGCTGAAACAGGAAAGAGCCTGCCCCAAACTGTTACCACAAAGTTGGAAGGACAGAATCGTCTAGAATGTCATTTTATGCTGTAGTGTTAAGATTTCCCTTCACTGGAACTTAGGGGGCCTAGCCCAAACCATGAAAAACAGCCCCAGACCATTATTCATCCTCCACCAAACTTTACAGTTGGCACTATGCATTCGTGCAGGTAGCGTTCTCCTGGCATCCGCCAAACCCAATTTCGTCCGCCGGACTGCCAGATGGTGAAGCGTGATTCATCATGCCAGAGTCCAATGACGGCGAGCTTTACACCACTCCAGTCGACGCTTGGCATTGCGCATGGTGCTCTTAGGCTTGTGTGCGGCTCCTCGGCCATGGAAACCCATTTCATGAAGCTCCCGATGAACAGTTATTGTGCTGACGTTGCTTCCAGAGGCAGTTTGGAACTCGGTAGTGAGTGTTGGAACCGAGGACAGACGAGTTTTACCCACTACGCGCTTCAGCACTCGGCGGTCCTGCTCTGTGAGCTTGTGTGGCCTACCACTTTGCGGCTGAGCCATTGTTGCTCCTAGACGTTTCCCCTTCACAATAACAGCACTTACAGTTGATCGGGGAAGCTCTAGCAGGGCAGACATTTTACGAACTGACTTGTTGGAAAGGTGGCATCCTATGACGGTGCCACGTTGAAAGTCACTGAGCTCTTCATTAAGGCCATTCTACTGCCAATGTTTGTCTATGGAGATTGCATGGCTGTGTACTCAATTTTATACAACTGTCAGCAATGGTTGTGGCTGAAATAGCAAAATCCACTAATTTGAAGGGGTGTCCACATACTTCTACATTTATGCTTTGTGGACTTTACCGGATAGATCTCCGGTTTTAACTGTGATGATTATGAAACACAAACATAACTGTTCTGATTTACTGTGTGTTGTAACCTAGGCCCCATTTCATTTGTTTATTTAGAGAAGACACACGCCAATAATCCTGGGCCAACACCACATATACACTGCTCAAAAAAATTAAGGGAACACTAAAATAACACATCCTAGATCTGAATGAATGAAATAATCTTATTAAATACTTTTTTCTTTACATAGTTGAATGTGCTGACAACAAAATCACACAAAAATGATCAATGGAAATCAAATTTATCAACCCATGGAGGTCTGGATTTGGAGTCACCCTCAAAATTAAAGTGGAAAACCACACTACAGGCTGATCCAACTTTGATGTAATGTCCTTAAAACAAGTCAAAATTAGGCTCAGTAGTGTGTGTGGCCTCCACGTGCCTGTATAACCTCCCTACAACGCCTGGGCATGCTCCTGATGAGGTGGCGGATGGTCTCCTGAGGGATCTCCTCCCAGACCTGGACTAAAGCATCCGCCAACTCCTGGACAGTCTGTGGTGCAATGTGGCGTTGGTGGATGGAGCGAGACATGATGTCCCAGATGTGCTCAATTGGATTCAGGTCTGGGGAACGGGCAGGCCAGTCCATAGCATCAATGCCTTCCTCTTGCAGGAACTGCTGACACACTCCAGCCACATGAGGTCTAGCATTGTCTTGCATTAGGAGGAACCCAGGGCCAACCGCACCAGCATATGGTCTCACAAGGGGTCTGAGGATCTCATCTCGGTACCTAATGGCAGTCAGGCTACCTCTGGCGAGCACATGGAGGGCTGTGCGGCCCCCTAAAGAAATGCCACCCCACACCATGACTGACCCACCGCCAAACCGGTCATGCTGGAGGATGTTGCAGGCAGCAGAACGTTCTCCACGGCGTCTCCAGACTCTGTCACGTCTGTCACGTGCTCAGTGTGAACCTGCTTTCATCTGTGAAGAGCACAGGGCGCCAGTGGCGAATTTGCCAATCTTGGTGTTCTCTGGCAAATGCCAAACGTCCTGCACGGTGTTGGGCTGTAAGCACAACCCCCACCTGTGGACGTCGGGCCCTCATACCACCCTCATGGAGTCTGTTTCTGACCGTTTGAGCAGACACATGCACATTTGTGGCCTACTGGAGGTCATTTTGCAGGGTTCTGGCAGTGCTCCTCCTGCTCCTCCTTGCACAAAGGCGGAGGTAGCAGTCCTGCTGCTGGGTTGTTGCCCTCCTACGGCCTCCTCCATGTCTCCTGATGTACTGGCCTGTCTCCTTGTAGCGCCTCCATGCTCTGGACACTACGCTGACAGACACAGCAAACCTTCTTGCCACAGCTCGCATTGATGTGCCATCCTGGATGAGCTGCACTACCTGAGCCACTTGTGTGGGTTGTAGACTCCGTCTCATGCTACCACTAGAGTGAAAGCACCGCCAGCATTCAAAAGTGACCAAAACATCAGCCAGGAAGCATAGGAACTGAGAAGTGCTCTGTGGTCACCACCTGCAAACCAGTCCTTTATTGGGGGTGTCTTGCTAATTGCCTATAATTTCCACCTGTTGTCTATTCCATTTGCACAACAGCATGTGACATTTATTGTCAATCAGTGTTGCTTCCTAAGTGGACAGTTTGATTTCACAGAAGTGTGATTGACTTGGAGTTACATTGTGTTGTTTAAGTGTTCCCTTTATTTTTTTGAGCAGTGTATTTAATATGTTATAGTAAGAACAGGCATATACTGTAATGAGACAGAATGAAAGAGAACATATCTTTTCCCCAAACAACCTTGCTGACTGTTGCGGGGTGCGCAAAGTGACATTCTGGGCTTTATAAAACAAGTGGTACGAGCAAGAGCAGTGTTTCTCTTTTCTTGGAACTTTGTCTGTGGAATGAAGCATGGCTTATTGGCCGTATTTCACAGAGGCGTAGCCTATGAATGCATTTCTAACGGGAGTTAGACCAAACCATTATCTCAACTGGTCTGGTTGGCTTTCCCCCCTAGTAAATTTACCCATGCACCGCTACTGAAGTTAACAAATTGCATCTTTGTGCGCCGATTTGTTTACAGAAAATTAGAGTGTGCCAGGAGGGTGTGCCGGGGTGGGGGGAGGAGGGCTCCCAAAAAATAATAAAGCCCCAGGGCCTTTGATTCCTTAATCTGGCCCTGGACGCGAAGTGTAAATAAATGTGTTGGTTGGTGTGGAATGTATTCCAGTGTAGTTAACATGACCTTTCCATCAGTGCAACAGACTGTGTATGTGTGTGTGTGTACCTTTCTGAGCGAGGAGGCAGAAGTCCTCCTGTAGTTTGATGTAGTCACCGCCACACTCCATGTTGTCAGGAACCAGGCGAGAGACAGGGGTCTGGAAGTCCACCAGCTCAGCGCACAGGTTGGGGTTGGAGGAGCGGAGGTGCGTGGGAGACATGCTGGCACTCACAGGGAGAGAGGGGACCTGAGAGGAGAAGAGGGAGGGGAGGAGGGGAGAGAGGAGAAGAGTGGAGGAGGAGAGCGAGGAGAGGAGAAGAAGGAGAGGAGGAGAGGAGGAGAGGGAGGAGAGGACTGTCAGTACCACTTGGAGACTTGGGAATGTAGTAATGTGGTCTACAGATGGAGCTCAAGTTGTGGCTCCATAAGACCCTTCTGCGGTCTCTTCTGCATACACACATAGTCAATAATAGACAGATACTCACTCTGTGTTTGAATCACACCAAGTCTGACAAGTCATATGGGACAGCAAAGCACAGATGAATCTGAGGCTTCGTTCCAACCAAAGTTATTTTTAAGTTCACTTCATTTGCTTTAAAAAAAACAAAGAAAAAATCCTTCCCCTTGTTTCTCCTGGGCTGATGACTCACTCATTCATTAACAACACTGCATATGTATACCAGAGGGCCGCTAGTGAGGAAACAGTTGGTTCTGGGCTTCCTGGTGAGGAAACAGTTGGTTCTGGGCTTCCTGGTGAGGAAACAGTTGGTTCTGGGCTTCCTGGTGAGGAAACAGTTGGTTCTGGGCTTCCTGGTGAGGAAACAGTTGGTTCTGGGCTTCCTGGTGAGGAAACGGTTGGTTCTGGGCTACCTAATCTACCAGAACACCCGTAGTGATAAGAACTCAGTATCATGAAGGAAAAGGCTTTTAAACTGTTGCCATAGGTAATTGGGAGAGTTTAAAAAAAAAAAACGTAATATGAAATTCAAAGCATGATTAGCCTTCTCCTGAAGCTTTACAGAGTGTTAAAAGTAAATTGGGTAATTTAGTAAACCTGAGAAGAAGGTATTGTACAGCCCCAAAAAGGTGTGTGGTTCAGGCTTTGTATTATACAAAAGGACATGGAGAGCAGATAACTGAAGACGTTCTCTGCCCTGACATATAATTGCATAACGTACAGTTGTGACTATAACTACTGTTCCCCGAAGGAGGGAAACGAGGTACAACACAGCTATTAGGAGTTTGCTTGCTAGCGCCCTCTGCTGAAGAACATTAGAATCACACCTGACAAGGTCAATGAATGCCTTGCCTCACCGGAAACTCCCCCCGCCTTCCACAGGGGATAAACTCAAGGCACGGATTCATTCCTTCAGTTCAGAACCGCTCTTCACCGAGCCCAGAACTGGGCGGCGCGGGGCCGAACAGGTCCTGTACCTCGCTTCTCCTTCAGGGAACAGCAGGTATAGCCATAACTGTACGTTCCCTTTTGGGGATATGAAATCACGCCCCAAGCCGACCCCAGTGGACACCAAATGAAATGGTGGCCCACAACAGACCACCCAGAGTCCAACCCGAGAGGAAAACCTCTGGTACCCGGGTATTACGCAATCTGCACGCTGCCTAACGACCCTCTCCTGCCCCAGCGGTAAGCACTCTGTGGGCTACACTGGGAGCAGTGTCATCCAAGCGATAAAGCCTCACAAAAGTGTGTGGCGATGCCCAACTCGCCGTAGCACAATACCTCCTACAGGCAACCCTTTAAACAACGCCCATGAGGCCGCCAGACCCCTGGTAGAGTGGGCGCATACACCATCAGGTAATTCCTGCCTTTTGCTGTCATATGCCAGAGAAAACAGCCTCCACAATCCCAATGGGAGAGACGCTGCTTATAAAGCGCTCTACCACGAGACGGATGATCAAAACAGACAAAAAGTTAGTCACACAAACGGACACCCCTGGTGGTAACGCTCGTACTGGACACAAGGCGTGCAACCTCCGCTGCTCCTTAGAACCAAAACGTCATGACTTTAGGGTCAAAGGTCACATTAGGACGCAACGTCACCTTAGAGTTGCCAAGGGCGAACTTCATTCAGGAGGGTGCCCTTGCAGACTGTATAGTAGCAATAATGTTCAGAGGTAAATGCCTTGCCATCAGATTGGACCCTTCAGGGGCCAAGCCCACAAATTCCAAATCTCCGGTCCCGCCAGACCTGCCCGTGCACCTGGGACAACAGGTCCCTGCGCAATGGGAGTTGCCACGGGTCCCCGCCTAAAAGGATGATCCCCATGAACCAAGGTCGTTTGGGCCAACAGGGAGCCACAAGGATCAAGGGCAAGCCCTCCCGACGCATCGTCTACAGTGTGGGCTGAATCAAATCCACAGGGGGAAACGCGTAAAGGAGGGTCAAAGGCCACTGGTGCGTGAGAGCATCCATTTCCAAAAGAGCACCCATGTCCCTTATCTAGAAAAACAGCCAATTTTCTCGCGATGCGTAAAGATCTACATCAGCCCTGCTTAACACTTCCCATCTCTAGGAGACTACCCAGGGGTCCAGCCTCCACTCCCGAGAGCGGGGGCCCCCCTCGGATAGCGGATAGCGTCACCTGGAGCGAGGGAAAGTGCCCACTGCTCCACAGCAGTAGGGAGCGACACAAGGATAAGAGGGTTCGAGACCGCACCCCTCCCTGCCTGTTGATGTACGCCACCGCTGTCCTGTTGATGTACGCCACCACTGTCCTGTTGATGTACGCCACCACTGTCCTGTTGATGTACGCCACCACTGTCCTGTTGATGTACGCTACCACTGTCCTGTTGATGTACGCCACCACTGTCCTGTTGATGTACGCCACCACTGTCCTGTTGATGTACGCCACCACTGTCCTGTTGTCGGGCCTCACCAGCTGAACTGTCAACAAGAAAACACCTGAGCGCTACGTACACCCTCTGCAACACTGTCCACAACCCCCCGAATTGAGATGACCTCGCACAGCGCACCCCCAACCACCATACATCTGTCATCATCAGCTTGAGGGATATAACTCAACTCTTTTCATTAAGCTCACATGTGGAGTACAACACTCTTGACTCCCGTAAGGGGTGGAACTTGGGGTAGAAACAATATGGTTAAGTGCAGACGTTTGCCTGAAGCCTGGTCCACTCTGGGTTTGTTTTTTTGTTGTTGCTACCAGTGGCGATTGTCCGTGCCACTAAGGGGTACTGTTGTCACAGCGAACATCTGGGGAGGGGGTCAAGGGGGGACCCCAGCCAGTGCCGCCACCCTTCTCATCGTGCTAGGTGCGCGGGTGCTGCTGCCTCCCCAGCTACGCAGAGGGACCAGCATTCACTTCACCCTTGGGAGTAAAACGGCGCCTGTGCCAAGCGGACTGGTGCTGCTCTTGTGGAACAAGACAAAGCAGGAACAGACTTGGGGTTGGACCCGGAAGCCGGGGCCTCTGTCTGCAGACCCTCTAGAAGACAATGCCGCCGCAGCAGCGAAGGTCCCCCGAGGAAGGAAGACGCACAGCGCCACCTACTGCTTCTTCTTCTTCTCCTCAAAAAGAGACTGCATAGACTCCAGGGCCGAGCCGAACAACCCCGTAGGAGAAATCAGCTCATCCAAGAACAACTGCCTGTCCCGATACGCCTTGTAAAGCCTTCTGAGCTCAATTTCGAGTCTCATAGCAAAGGGGCTGAATACTTATGTAAATAAGGTATTTCTGTTTTTTATTTGTAATACTGTAAATTTGCTAAAATTTCTAAAAACCTGTTTTCGCTTTTGTCATTATGGGGTATTGTGTGTAGATTGATGAGGATTTTTATTTATTTAAATACATTTTAGAATAAGGCTGTAACGTAACAAAATGTTGAAAAAGGTCATGGGGTGTGAGTACTTTCCGAATGCCCTGTAACTATGTGTGAGAGAGAGAGACTGGAAATCTAAGAAATAAGAGGTACCTGAAGCTGAAGCTGCCATTTTGAATCTTTGCAGACACTTTTTGTTCTCCATCTCCTGTTCATGCGCTTGTCTTTCTTTGACATGGCTACACAATTGGTCTTCATAACAAACACGGATGAGAATATGAGAGGTGGTTAATAGGACATGCAAAGCAGCAATGACAGTTCTCACACACACACACGCACACACACGCGCACACACGCGCGCACGCGCACACACGCACACACGCACACACGCACACACGCACACACGCACACACGCACACACGCACACACGCACACACACACACACACACACACACACACACACACACACACACATCGTTAGCTATGAAATGGAGGATGGTATCATCTCCACACAATTGAATAAAAAAAATATATGACTTTATATTAAAGAAATGTTACGATTCAAAGCAAATGTCAAAACATTCAAAGTCTGTTGAATGATCTTAATCAAATGCAATTTGTTATACATCGATTGGAAAGCGACAAAAGCAACAATGAATAATGTGAGTATTTGAGTGTGTTGATGTACAGTGACAGAGATGGTGGCTGTGTTGAAAATGGATTGGGCCTCACACAGCCTGACCATGAGGTCCAGACACACCTCCCATCATCGCCTGGGCAACAAGGAATCAGCCCCTCCCCTCCCTCAGGAAAGAGCAAGACTAACCACTCAGACTGCTGTGATTAAACTCCCTACTCCTTCTGTGGGTTTGTTTCAAGTTTCAAGTTTTATTAGTCGTATGTATAGGATACACGTGGTGTACACCCTCCAACAGGATACACGTGGTGTACACCCTCCAACAGGATACACGTGGTGTACACCCTCCAACAGGATACACGTGGTGTACACCCTCCAACAGGATACACGTGGTGTACACCATCCAACAGGATACACGTGGTGTACACCGTCCAACAGGATACACGTGGTGTACACCATCCAACAGGATACACGTGGTGTACACCCTCCAACAGGATACACGTGGTGTACACCGTCCAACAGGATACACGTGGTGTACACCGTCCAACAGGATACACGTGGTGTACACCGTCCAACAGGATACACGTGGTGTACACCCTCCAACAGGATACACGTGGTGTACACCGTCCAACAGGATACACGTGGTGTACACCGTCCAACAGGATACACGTGGTGTTCACCGTCCAACAGGATACACGTGGTGTACAGCCTCCAACAGGATACACGTGGTGTTCACCGTCCAACAGGATACACGTGGTGTTCACCGTCCAACAGGATACACGTGGTGTTCACCGTCCAACAGGATACACGTGGTGTACACCGTCCAACAGGATACACGTGGTGTACACCGTCCAACAGGATACACGTGGTGTCCACCGTCCAACAGGATACACGTGGTGTTCACCGTCCAACAGTATACACGTGGTGTACACCGTCCAACAGGATACACGTGGTGTACACCGTCCAACAGGATACACGTGGTGTACACCGTCCAACAGGATACACGTGGTGTACACCGTCCAACAGGATACACGTGGTGTACACCGTCCAACAGGATACACGTGGTGTTCACCGTCCAACAGGATACACGTGGTGTTCACCGTCCAACAGGATACACGTGGTGTACACCCTCCAACAGGATACACGTGGTGTACACCGTCCAACAGGATACACGTGGTGTACACCCTCCAACAGGATACACGTGGTGTACACCGTCCAACAGGATACACGTGGTGTACACCATCCAACAGGATACACGTGGTGTACACCGTCCAACAGGATACACGTGGTGTACACCCTCCAACAGGATACACGTGGTGTTCACCGTCCAACAGGATACACGTGGTGTACACCGTCCAACAGGATACACGTGGTGTACACCGTCCAACAGGATACACAATGGGATACATCGTCCAACGAAATGCTTACTTGCAGGTTCCTTCTCGACAATGCAACAACAATAAGAAATAGTAAAAGATAAGAATACGAACAAAGTAAATGTCTCAGTAGAACAGAATAGACATTTTAGCATCAGTATAATACAGGAAGGGACAATTTATAGTCCAGTATTTAGACATGTATCAGAGAAAGGGGGGATTGGGGGGCAAGTGTTTAAAATTTTGCAGTATTTAGCAATCATAATAAGAGTCTTGTAGCAGCAGTTGTGATGTGTGTGTAGCATGAATTAATGTGTGTGTGTGTGTGTGAGTGAGTGAGTGAGTGAGTGAGTGCGTGCGTGCGTGCGTGGGTGTGTGCGTGAGTGAGTGAGTGCGTGGGTGAGTGAGTGAGTGCGTGCGTGGGTGTGTGCGTGAGTGAGTGAGTGCGTGGGTGAGTGAGTGAGTGCGTGCGTGGGTGTGTGCGTGAGTGAGTGAGTGAGTGAGTGCTAAGGTGCAGAGAACCAGAGCAGGAGGTCAGTCCAGTTCAAGTGTTCAGCAGTCTGATGGCTTGTAGATAGAAACTGTCTCTGAGCCTGTTGGTATCAGACCTTATGCTCTGATACCGTCTGCCTTGACGGTAAAGGGACTGAACAGCTCGTGGCTGGGCTGTGTGTGTTACCTGCATGTCAGTGAAATTGGGCGCTGACTGGGTCCTCTGTAGGATCTCCAGGCTCTGCAGTAACTTGCTCAGCTCAATCAGGCTGGACTGGCAGCGGGCGAGCTCTGGGAAGAAACAGCACAAGGACATGTGTCACATTGGAAGGCCACGTCAGACCCGATGAAGTGAATGTGACTCACTGCTGTGCTTAACAGATGAGAGAACAATTACGGAAAAACAAATGTCCTTATTAGTTTAACAAAGTGGAATAATATGACAAACAGGTGCTACTATCAGGATATATTGTAAATCCGTCATACCAGGGCATGGGGAACATATACCATCATACCAGGGCATGGGGAACATATACCATAATACCAGGGCATGGGGAACATATACCATCATACCAGGGCATGGGGAACATATACCATAATACCAGGGCATGGGGAACATATACCATCATACCAGGGCATGGGGAACATATACCATCATACCAGGGCATGGGGAACATATACCATCATACCAGGGCATGGGGAACATATACCATAATACCAGTGCATGGGGATCATATACCATCATACCAGGGCATGGGGAACATATACCATAATACCAGGGCATGGGGAACATATACCTTAATACCAGGGCATGGGGAACATATACCATAATACCAGGGCATGGGGAACATATACCATAATACCAGGGCATGGGGAACATATACCATAATATCAGGGCATGGGGAACATATACCATAATATCAGGGCATGGGGAACCATATACCATCATACCAGGGCCATGGGGAACATATACCATCATACCAGGGCATGGGGAACATATACCATAATACCAGGACATGGGGAACATATACCATCATACCAGGGCATGGGGATCATATACCATCATACCAGGGCATGGGGAACATATACCATCATACCAGGGCATGGGGAACATATACCATAATACCAGGGCATGGGGAACATATACCATAATACCAGGGCATGGGGAACATATACGATAATACCAGGGCATGGGGAACATATACCATCATACCAGGGCATGGGGAACATATACCATCATACCAGGGCATGGGGATCATATACCATAATACCAGGGCATGGGGATCATATACCATCATACCAGGGCATGGGGATCATATACCATCATACCAGGGCATGGGGATCATATAACATCATACCAGGGCATGGGGATCATATAACATCATACCAGGGCATGGGGACAAACTCATACCAAGGCATGGGGAATATACCAACAGGGCATGGGGAACATATACCATCATACCAGGGCATGGGGATCATATACCATAATACCAGGGCATGGGGAACATATACCATAATACCAGGGCATGGGGAACATATACCATAATACCAGGGCATGGGGAACATATACCATCATACCCCACAAGACATGCCACCAGAGGTCTCTTCACAATCCCCAAGTCCAGAACAGACTATGGCAGGCGCACAGTACTACTTAGAGGCGGCAGGTAGCCTAGTGGGTAAGAGCGTTGTGCCAGTACCCGAAAGGTCGCTGGTTCTAATCCCAGACCCGACAAGGTGAAAAATCTGTCGATGTGCCCTTGAGCAAGGCACTTAACCCTAATTGCTCCTGTAAGTCGCTCTGGATAAGAGCGTCTGCTAAATGACTAAAATGTAAAAATGTAATAGAGCCATGACTACATGAAACTCTATTCCATGTCAAGTAACAAAATTAGATTTGAAAAACAGATAAAAATACACCTTATGGAACAGCGAGGACTGAAGCAACACAAACATAGGCACAGACACATGCATACACACACGTACACATGGATTTTGTGTTGCAGATATGTGGTAGTAGAGTAGTGACCTGAGGGCACACAACTTAATGCGTTGTGAAATGTAATGTTTATAAAATGGTATAACTGCCTTAATCTTGCTGGACCCCAGGAATATGAGTTGCTGCCTTGGCAGGAACTAATGGGGATCCATAATAAATACAAATATGCCATCATTTGAATACAGTTCCATCATATGAATACAGTACATCTTCCACTACTGGCAGGGAAAGGGAAATATATTGCTGACCCTTGTCAGTGAGGAAGAGAGGAGGGAAGTGAGGAACGAGGAGATAGGGGCAGAGAGGTAAGAGAAGAGGAGGCGAGAGAGGAAGGAAAAAGGGAGAGAGCGGAGGAAGATCGGGGAGGCAGAGAGAAGTGAGGAAGAGAGAGAGAGAGGAGGGAGAAGGCGAGAGTGGAAGAGATGGTGAGACAGGGAGGGGAGAAACGTGGAGAGGAGTAGAGATGACGTGCTGAGGATCTTGGAGAGGGTGGGAAGAGTCGAGGATGATGATGAGTGCGACTAACGCGTGAGCTGAGATGGATGTCTCGTGAGGAGGCGGTCTGGGTTAGCGGTAGTCCGGGACGGGCGCGTACGATGGGACTGGGGGAGGAGGGGCGGCGCGAGATGGTGAGGCGGTGCGTCGGAGGGCTATGGAGGTGCGCGTATTCGCGGGAGGGCTAGAGAGGGGACGGGCGGAAGAGGGAGGCAGCGATGGAGAGGATGTCGTATCGAGGAGAGGAAGCCCTGAGGGTAGTGGATAGGACGACTAGCAGGGGCAGGTGGACGGGCAGGAGAGTCAGGGAGTTCGGGCACTGACGTGCTGACGGTGATCTGGTGAGCGAGATCGGAACTGACGTAGATGGAGAGCTGGTAGAGAAGAGGAGAGAGAGTGCGGAGAGGAGGAATGAGAGGAGAGGAGCTGTACAGGATGGGATGAGAGGAATGAGGAGGAACGGGAGAAAGGGGGGAAGGACTTCGCTCTGTACTGCTCTCTCGCGTCCTGTGCGATCGACTCCTGCTCTGTCGCACGTTGAGGAGGTGCTCGTTACTGGGGTGGTGAACGCTAGATGGTGTACTCGGCCTCCCCTCGTCCTCGCCCCTTGCCTGCCTGTGCAGCTCGCTGCTGCTCTTCCTGGGCTGTGGGGGCGCTGGCGCTCTGGGGCTGGGGGCTGCCTGGTGGGAGACTGGTTCGCGGGGGCTGGGGCTCCATGGAGGACTGGTTCTGCTACGGGGGGGGGACTGCCATGGTGGGACTGGTCTGCTACGGGTGGGGGGGACTGCCATGGTGGGAGGCTGGTTCTGCTACTGGGGGCTGGGGGGGACTGCCATGGTGGGAGACTGGTTCTGCTACTGGGGGCTGGGGGGGACTGCCATGGTGGGAGGCTGGTTCTGCTACTGGGGGCTGGGGGGGACTGCCATGGTGGGAGACTGGTTCTGCTACTGGGGGCTGGGGGGGACTGCCATGGTGGGAGGCTGGTTCTGCTACTGGGGGCTGGGGGGGACTGCCATGGTGGGGAGGCTGTTCTGCTACTGGGGCTGGGGGGGACTGCCATGGTGGGAGGCTGGTTCTGCTACTGGGGGCTGGGGGGGACTGCCATGGTGGGAGGCTGGTGGGTTTGGTCTGCTGGAGGACATGGAGAGAGACAAAGGGGTTAGTTAGTTAAGACACCTCAGTCTAGAACACCTGTATAACACACATGAGATGTGATAAAAACATTATGTTTCAGGCTTGCCAGGAGAAAGTTTAAGATAATTCCATGCTTTCTAAGAGAAATCCGTATAATAGCTGAAGAAAAGGACAAGATATAGTATGTGGGCCACAACTCTAAATGTCCAACCACCAAAGACATCCCTTCTGCATCAACATCACTTCAAAGCAGCAGATATTTACTGACTCAGTCTCAGGCCCTGTGAGAGTGCTGATCAGTAGGAGGCCATGCAGGCTCAGACCAGGCTCAGACCAGGCCCAGACCAGGCCCAGACCAGGCCCAGACCAGGCTCAGACCAGGCCCAGACCAGGCCCAGACCAGGCCCAGACCAGGCTCAGACCAGGCCCAGACCAGGCCCAGACCAGGCCCAGAGCCAGACCCAGAGCCAGGCTCAGACCAGGCTCAGACCAGGCCCAGACCAGGCCCAGACCAGGCCCAGAGCCAGACCCAGAGCCAGGCTCAGACCAGGCTCAGACCAGGCTCAGACCAGGCTCAGACCAGGCCCAGAGCCAGACCCAGAGCCAGGCTCAGACCAGGCTCAGACCAGGCTCAGACCAGGCTCAGACCAGGTCCAGACCAGGCTCAGACCAGGCCCAGACCAGGCCCAGACCAGGCTCAGACCAGGCCCAGAGCCAGACCCAGACCCAGCTGCTCTGAATACAGGCCTGTTTGATGTCCTAATGGATTCAGTCTGCCAGCTGCTCTGAATACAGGCCTGTTTGATGTCCTAATGGATTCAGTCTGCCAGCTGCTCTGAATACAGGCCTGTATGTTTGGGATGTCCTAATGGATTCAGTCTGCCAGCTGCTCTGAATACAGGCCTGTTTTGATGTCCTAATGGATTCAGTCTGCCAGCTGCTCTGAATACAGGCCTGTTTGATGTCCTAATGGATTCAGTCTGCCAGCTGCTCTGAATACAGGCCTGTTGATTCCTAATGGATTTCAGTCTGCCAGCTGCTCTGAATACAGGCCTGTTTGATGTCCTAATGGATTCAGTCTGCCAGCTGCTCTGAATACAGGCCTGTTTGATGTCCTAATGGATCAGTCTGCCAGCTGCTCTGAATACAGGCCTGTTTTGATGTCCTAATGGATTCAGTCTGCCAGCTGCTCTGAATACAGGCCTGTTTGATGTCCTAATGGATTCAGTCTGCCAGCTGCTCTGAATACAGGCCTGTTTGATGTCCTAATGGATTCAGTCTGCCAGCTGCTCTGAATACAGGCCTGTTTGATGTCCTAATGGATTCAGTCTGCCAGCTGCTCTGAATACAGGCCTGTTTGATGTCCTAATGGATTCAGTCTGCCAGCTGCTCTGAATACAGGCCTGTTTGATGTCCTAATGGATTCAGTCTGCCAGCTGCTCTGAATACAGGCCTGTTTGATGTCCTAATGGATTCAGTCTGCCAGCTGCTCTGAATACAGGCCTGTTTGATGTCCTAATGGATTCAGTCTGCCAGCTGCTCTGAATACAGGCCTGTTTGATGTCCTAATGGATTCAGTCTGCCAGCTGCTCTGAATACAGGCCTGTTTGATGTCCTAATGGATTCAGTCTGCCAGCTGCTCTGAATACAGGCCTGTTTGATGTCCTAATGGATTCAGTCTGCCAGCTGCTCTGAATACAGGCCTGTTTGATGTCCTAATGGATTCAGTCTGCCAGCTGCTCTGAATACAGGCCTGTTTGATGTCCTAATGGATTCAGTCTGCCAGCTGCTCTGAATACAGGCCTGTTTGATGTCCTAATGGATTCAGTCTGCCAGCTGCTCTGAATACAGGCCTGTTTGATGTCCTAATGGGATTCAGTCTGCCAGCTGCTCTGAATACAGGCCTGTTTGATGTCCTAATGGATTCAGTCTGCCAGCTGCTCTGAATACAGGCCTGTTTGATGTCCTAATGGATTCAGTCTGCCAGCTGCTCTGAATACAGGCCTGTTTGATGTCCTAATGGATTCAGTCTGCCAGCTGCTCTGAATACAGGCCTGTTTGATGTCCTAATGGATTCAGTCTGCCAGCTGCTCTGAATACAGGCCTGTTTGATGTCCTAATGGATTCCAGTCTGCCAGCTGCTCTGAATACAGGCCTGTTTTGATGTCCTAATGGATTCAGTCTGCCAGCTGCTCTGAATACAGGCCTGTTTGATGTCCTAATGGATTCAGTCTGCCAGCTGCTCTGAATACAGGCCTGTTTGATGTCCTAATGGATTCAGTCTGCCAGCTGCTCTGAATACAGGCCTGTTTGATGTCCTAATGGATTCAGTCTGCCAGCTGCTCTGAATACAGGCCTGTTTGATGTCCTAATGGATCCAGTCTGCCAGCTGCTCTGAATACAGGCCTGTTTGATGTCCTAATGGATTCAGTCCAGACTCTCCTCTCCCTGGGGACATTGTGTTTGTCTTAACACATTCATAGACAAATATAAGGTGACACTGCATTACCCACAGCATTATCCACTGTAATTACCCACAGCATTACCCACTGCATTACCCACTGTAATTATCCACAGCATTACCCACTGTAATTACCCACAGCATTACCCACAGCATTACCCACTGTAATTATCCACAGCATTACCCACTGTAATTACCCACTGTAGTTACCCACAGCATTACCCACTGTAATTACCCACAGCATTACCCACTGTAATTACCCACAGCATTACCCACTGTAATTACCCACAGCATTACCCACTGTAATTACCCACTGTAGTTACCCACAGCATTACCCACAATATTACCCACTGTAATTATCCACAGCATTACCCACTGTAATTATCCACAGCATTACCCACTGTAATTACCCACTGTAATTGCCCACAGCATTACCCACTGTAATTATCCCACAGCATTACCCACTGTAATTACTCACTGCGTTACCCACTGTAATTACCCACAGCATTACCCACTGTAATTACTTACAGCATTACCCATTAAGGCCATATTTGATTTAGATTCAGAGCCATTAGTCTCATAATTAGCTCAGTAACTGAACAGGGCTGTTAGTAGTAATAGAACCAGTCAAAAATTAAAATGTTGAGTGGCTGTATACTGAAACGTTAATAGCTTTGAATGTGGGTCAGACAGAAAAGAGCTCATCTTACCACAGCAGAGAACAACTGTGCTCAGCTAACTGACAGGGAAGAGGCGCTAACCGACAGGGAAGAGGCGCTAACCGACAGGGAAGAGGCGCTAACCGACAGGGAAGAGGCGCTAACCGACAGGGAAGAGGCGCTAACCGACAGGGAAGAGCGCTAACCGACAGGGAAGAGGCGCTAACCGACAGGGAAGAGGCGCTAACCGACAGGGAAGAGGCGCTAACCGACAGGGAAGAGGCGCTAACGACAGGGAAGAGGCGCTAACCGACAGGAAGAGGCGCTAACCGACAGGGAAGAGGCGCTAACTGACAGGAAAGGAGCAGCTAACCAGGGAAGAGGCGCTAACCGACAGGGAAGAGGAGCTAACCGACAGGGAAGAGGAGCCAACCGACAGGGAAAGGAGCCAACCGACAGGGAAGAGGGCTAACCGCCAGGGAAGAGGGCCAACCGACAGGGAAGAGAGCCAACCGACAGGAAGAGCAGAGCTAACCGACAGGGAAGAGGAGCCAACCGACAGGGAAGAGGAGCTAACCGACAGGGAAGAGGAGCTAACCGACAGGGAAGAGGAGCCAACCGACAGGGAAGAGGAGCTAACCGACAGGGAAGAGGAGCCAACCGACAGGGAAGAGGAGCTAACCGACAGGGAAGAGGCGCTAACCGACAGGGAAGAGGCGCTAACCGACAGGGAAGAGGAGCCAACCGACAGGGAAGAGGAGCCAACCGACAGGGAAGAGGCGCTAACTGACAGGGAAGGGGAGCCAACCGACAGGAAAGAGCAGCTAACCACCAGGGAAGAGGAGCCAACCGACAGGGAAGAGGAGCCAACCGACAGGGAAGAGGAGCCAACCGACAGGGAAGAGGCGCTAACTGACAGGGAAGGGGAGCCAACCGACAGGAAAGAGCAGCTAACCACCAGGGAAGAGGAGCCAACCGACAGGGAAGAGGAGCCAACCGACAGGGAAGAGGCGCCAACCGACAGGGAAGAGGCGCCAACCGACAGGGAAGAGGAGCCAACCGCCAGGGAAGTGAACCTAACTGACAGGGAAGTGGAGCCCACCTTTACTTCATGTTGTCCTGCAGCGGGGGAGGGAGCTGGCTGGGGGTGGGGGTGAGGGATGGGGGACTCTGTGCTGGCAGGGGGAGGAAACGTCCTTATGGGGGCGTCTCTGGGGGAGCGGACAATCTCATTCTGCCGGTAGAGACGGTGGTGGCGCAGCTTGACCACCCAGGAGTCAAAGATGTCTGGAGACTTGATCTGTAAAGAGAGGAGAGGAAAGGAAGAGGAGAGAGTAAAGGAGAGAGGAAAGGAGAGAGAGAGAAAGAAAGGAGAGAGGAAAGAAGAGAGGAAAGGAGAGAGGAAAGAGAGAGGAAGGAGAGAAAGGAGAATGAGAGACGAGGAAGGAGAGAGGAAGAGGAGATGAAGGAGAGACGGAAAGTTGATGACAGGGAGACGCGATGGAGAGAGGAGGCTGAGAGACTGAGCGAGGACAAGGGCGGAAGGCGAGACAGGATGACCGAGAGACGGAAGTGCAAGAGGACAACAAGAGAGTGAAGACAGAGGAGAGAGGAGAGATGAGAGGAAGAGAGGATGTAGGCTATTGTACATAGAAATTGTAATCTTCCCTCAGACAAGCCTTCAGAGAAGGGCAAGACTCCTATCATCCATCTCTGTCACGCTAACCTTGAGGTGGTAGATATGCTCCTCTGTGTCCAAGTCAATGCGGCGGGCCTTCTTCTTAATGGACATGACAGAGAGACCCACATCAATGCAACCATGGAGCTTGCCTTTCTGAATCTTAGAAAAGAGAGTTAACATAAGTCATGTGAGCAGGTATGGTATCTCATTGTTGCTGTATAAATAAATGGAATGTCAAGGTGATGAAAGAAAGATATAGGATCATGATCGAAAGGCCTACTTGACTCTTATAGGCCTACTTGAAGTCGTATAGGCCTACTTGAAGTCTTATAGGCCTACTTGAAGTCGTATAGGCCTACTTGAAGTCTTATAGGCCTACTTGAAGTCGTATAGGCCTACTTGAAGTCGTATAGGCCTACTTGAAGTCGTATAGGCCTACTTGAAGTCTTATAGGCCTACTTGAAGTCTTATAGGCCTACTTGAAGTCTTATAGGCCTACTTGAAGTCGTCTTCAAAAGTAACCACCATGAATCATCATTCTGCACTATTACGCAATATCATGCAGTGAGGCTAGTTTGTCAGTTTGGTTCAAAGAGATCAAGGCTCACAAGAACATGGCTGCTTCCAGGAGACACTGTGGAAGGAAGGACCCTTTGGAAACATCAGATTAGTGTGGACGCAGCAGTTTTGCCAGTCATTTGGAGATTTCCTACAGACCGACATGGGCAACAGAAACACAATGAGTAGAGTGACCCTTGGGGTGTTTCTGCTAAGTTACCATGGTGCCATAGTGATGCCAACTGAGGCTGCCCTCCATCTCTGCCCTCCATCTTTGCCCCCCATCCCTGACCGCCATCCCTGCCCTCCATCCCTGCCCTCCATATCTGCCCTCCATCCCTGCCCTCGATCTCTGCCCTACATCCCTTCCCACCATCCCTGCCCTCCATCCCTGCCCACCATCCCTGCCCACCATCCCTGCCCACCATCCCTGCCCTCCATATCTGCCCTCCATCCCTGCCCTCCATATCTGCCCTCCATCCCTGCCCCCCATCCCTGCCCTCCATCCCTGCCCTCCATCCCTGCCCACCATCCCTGCCCTCCATCCCTGCCCACCATCCCTGCCCTCCATCCCTGCCCTCCATATCTGCCCTCCATCCCTGCCCTCCATCCCTGCCCTCCATATCTGCCCTCCATCCCTGCCCTCCATCCCCGCCCTCCATCCCAGCCCCGTGGCTACTAGTCAGGGTTACTCACATCAATGGGTGACTTGGAGTACTTCAGCATCCCATTGTCCAGGACAAAAAAACGCTGTGGAAAAACAAGAACAAACATTGAGTAGGTGAATAACAGTACTTGTCTCTGGAAATGAATGTACTCTATCTGAAAGAAGATGTGGTTGATGACTTTTCTGAAGGGGTTTTGCACCAAGGAAATCGATGAAAACAAGTACAAGTGTTGCCTCTCTGTCGCCCATCAGACCCTACCTTGTGCCAGCCTTTCAGCGGCCATTTCCGCTTCTTCAGCATGAAGCCCTCGTGTTTATCTGGCCTCTGGACGTTGCTCTGACCGATTTTCAGCCCCTCAATGATTTCCCAGCTGTCTGCCTCCTAGGGACGGAGAGAGAAGAACAGAGCCGTGTCGGAACTCATCTGTTCACTTCTCCGGGGCCAGCGGAAACAGCAGAGAAGTAGTAGCCAGCCAGGGAGTTGGCAGAACGAGCTCTATTTTGGTGGTCTTTCTAATTCTCATTCTAATGCCTTTGATTCCATCCGAAATACACAACTCAATTAATGATTACTTTAACGACTTTACCTCCCAGATCGGTAAAATGTGTTATGGTATTGAGTAGAAAGACATCACTTTACAATTAAAATGACAGAAAATGTACGAGTTCAGTGTGTTGTTGTTTTGGATATCGTCTAGGCCTAGACCTATATCATCAGGACTATCTTACAAGTAAGACGACATCAAACATGAAACCTGTCTTCTCTTGTGATTCAAGTCATATTTACAGCTTTACTACCAGATATGAATGGCCACAATGATGTTTGTTCTTCAAATGATGGATTTTATTGGCTCTGCTGCTGTGGACACTCAGGGGAAGGAAACCAATGTGTCATTTTGTAATTTGGGTGAACTATCCCTTTAACAGTTTGGCCTGTCAATCAATCACTGTGTGTGGGCTTGTCAGGGGAGGGGGCAGGATGTTTGTGAATCAAGGAATTGGTAGGGTTCCCGACCTGTCAATCGATCACTGTGGGTGGGACTTTGAGGGATGGCGGTAGATCAGTAATCTACCCAGAAAAACTAGTCTTTCAATGTAGTTTATTGGGGCAAAAAGAAAAAAAGATTGTGTTCTGTCAAGTAAACATGGATTCCCTGTCGAGAAACAAAATCATGAATAGACCTACAGGTGTTATGGAAGACTGACACAGGTGTTAAACCAGCAGTTGATTACCCCATTGTCGACACTTAGATTAAATCAGTAGACCTATATCAATATATTTAATAATATCATACAAGTACCATTAGCTTTTAAAACCTTTAATCTGTTTTATTTTATCATATTTTGGACCAGAAGGAGGCTCTCTCTCCTAATTGTTCCTGCAGTGAGGAGTCAACATCTTCATCGAATGTTTTCATAATTTATCTGCAGATAATCGGCAGAAAGCAGTAGAAGGTTATACAGACTTTTCTGACTCACGGATTGACATTTTAAAATAAAAATGAAGCCTAGTAGCTGGCTTACAATGAGCCTGTTTTCGGCTATTTAGCAGAAGGCCGGAGCTTATGGAAAACACTGGGACCGCATTGCATCCTGCTGCCTTTAAACAGTATGAATAATAGATACTACCAGATACAACATAATACTACCAGTACACTAGAGTATATTACGTTGAACTGGGCATTTTTCCCCTACCTATTTACAGAAATACTGCCCGATTGAGTATCTCCCAGCCCTCTCAGCACTTCCACTAGCTGTCCCCTACTCTGCTCTCCTGTTTCTGTTGGCTCCGCAAATCCCAGGGCTCCTCTGGAGTGGAGGAGGGGACGCAGGGACGGGGTCAGGTGGGGATACGTATGACACGGCAGCAGAAGTGTCCCACTATGAGACTGAGACCCTGGTGGGCCCCACTGGGCTGCATGGGTCAGGTGAGGTTACAGCTGAATACAGAACAGTTAGCTGCCTTATAAGCCACCCCCTGCAGCGATGACAGCCCAGTGTGTGTGTGTGTGTGTGTGTGTGTGTGTGTGTGTGTGTGTGTGCATGACAGGCTGCGGCCTCACACAACACCCAGGGATCACTATAGGCCACGAAGGGCCATGTGGCTATAACTAGACACAACACCCAGGGATCACTATAGGCCACGAAGGGCCATGTGGCTATAACTAGACACAACACCCAGGGATCACTATAGGCCACGAAGGGCCATGTGGCTATAACTAGACACAACACCCAGGGATCACTATAGGCCACGAAGGGCCATATGGCTATAACTAGACACAACACCCAGGGATCACTATAGGCCACGAAGGGCCATGTGGCTATAACTAGACACAACACCCAGGGATCACTATAGGCCACGAAGGGCCATGTGGCTATAACTAGACACAACACCCAGGGATCACTATAGGCCACGAAGGGCCATGTTGGCTATAACTAGACACAACACCCAGGGATCACTATAGGGCCACGAAGGGCCATGTGGCTATAACTAGAACACAACACCCAGGGATCACTATAGGCCACGAAGGGCCATATGGCTATAACTAGACACAACACCCAGGGATCACTATAGGCCATGAAGGGCCATGTGGCTATAACTAAACACAACACCCAGGGATCACTATAGGCCACGAAGGGCCATGTGGCTATAACTAGACACAACACCCAGGGATCACTATAGGCCACGAAGGGCCATGTGGCTATAACTAGACACAACACCCAGGGATCACTATAGGCCACGAAGGGCCATATGGCTATAACTAAACACAACACCCAGGGATCACTATAGGCCACGAAGGGCCATATGGCTATAACTAAACACAACACCCAGGGATCACTATAGGCCATGAAGGGCCATGTGGCTATAACTAGACACAACACCCAGGGATCACTATAGGCCACGAAGGGCCATGTGGCTATAACTAGACACAACACCCAGGGCAAAACAAACTGTTGGCTGCTGCACTGCTGTGGACAAAAATACACCCATCACCTTGTAACAACCTCCTCTGTGTGTGTGTTTGTTTGTTTGTTTGTTTGTTTGTTTGTGTGTGTGTGTTTGTGTGTGTGTGTGTGTTTATTTTATTTATTTCACCTTTATTTAACCAGGTAAGCCAGTTGAGAACAAGTTCTCATTTACAACTGCGACCTGGCCAAGATAAAGCAAAGCAGTGCGACAAAAACAACACAGAGTTACATATGGGGTAAAAAACAAAGTCAAAAATACAACAGAAAATATATATACAGTGTGTGCAAATGTAGCAAGTTATGGAGGTAAGGCAATAAATAGGCTATAGTGCAAAATAATTACAATAGTATTAACACTGGAATGCTAGATGTGCAAGAGATTATGTGCAAATAGAGATACTGGGGTGCAAAAGAGCAAAATAAATAACAATATAGGGATGAGGTAGTTGGGTGGGCTAATTTCAGATGGGCTGTGTACAGGTGCAGTGATCGGTAAGGTGCTCTGACAACTGATGCTTAAAGTTAAGGGAGATAAGAGTCTCCAGCTTCAGAGATTTTTGCAATTCGTTCCAGTCATTGGCAGCAGAGAACTGGAAGGAATGGCGGCCAAAGGAGGTGTTGGCTTTGGGAATGACTAGTGAGATATACCTGCTGGAGCGCAGACTACGGGTGGGTGCTGCTATGGTGACCAATGAGCTAAGATAAGGCGGGGATTTGCCTAGCAGTGATTTATAGATGGCCTGGAGCCAGTGGGTTTGACGACGAACATGTAGTGAGGACCAGCCAACAAGAGCGTACAGGTCACAGTGGTGGGTAGCGTATGGGGCTTTGGAGACAAAACGGATGGCACTGTGATAGACTACATCCAATTTGCTGAGTAGAGTGTTGGAGGCTATTTTGTAAATGACATCGCCGAAGTCAAGGATCGGTAGGATAGTCAGTTTTACGAGGGCATGTTTGGCAGCATGAGTGAAGGAGGCTTTGTTGCGAAATAGGAAGCCGATTCTAGATTTAACTTTGGATTGGAGATTCTTTATGTGAGTCTGGAAGGAGAGTTTACAGTCTAACCAGACACCTAGGTATTTGTAGTTGTCCACATACTCTAGGTCAGACCCGTCAAGAGTGGTGATTCTAGTCGGGTGGGCGGGTGCCAGCAGCGTTAGATTGAAAAGCATGCATTTAGTTTTACTAGTGTTTAAGAGCAGTTGGAGGCTACTGAAGGAGTGTTGTATGGCATTGAAGCTCGTTTGGAGGTTTGTTAACACAGTGTCCAATGAAGGGCCAGATGTATACAAAATGGTGTCGTCTGCGTAGAGGTGGATCTGAGAGTCACCAGCAGCAAGAGCGACATCATTGATATACACGGAGAAAAGTGTCGGCCCAAGAATTGAACACTGTGGCACCCCCATAGAGACTGCCATAGGTCCAGACAACAGGCCCTCCGATTTGACACACTGAACTCTATCTGAGAAGTAGTTGGTGAACCAGGCGAGGCAGTCATTTGAGAAACCAAGGCTATTTAGTCTGCCAATAAGAATGCGGTGGTTGACAGAGTCGAAAGCCTTGGCCAGGTCGATGAAGACGGCTGCACAGTACTGTCTATTATCAATCGCGGTTATAATATCGTTTAGGACCTTGAGCGTGGCTGAAGTGCACCCATGACCAGCTCGGAAACCGGATTGCATAGCGGAGAAGGTACGGTGGTATTCGAAATGGTCGGTGATCTGTTTGTTAACTTGGCTTTCAAATACTTTCGAAAGGCAGGGCAGGATGGATATAGGTCTGTAGCAGTTTGGATCTAGAGTGTCACCCCCTTTGAAGAGGGGGATGACCGCGGCAGCTTTCCAATCTCTGGGGATCTCAGACGTTATGAAAGAGAGGTTGAACAGACTAGTAATAGGGGTTGCGACAATTTCGGCGGCTAGTTTTAGAAAGAAAGGTTCCAGATTGTCTAGCCCAGCTGATTTGTAGGGGTCCAGATTTTGCAGCTCTTTCAAAACGTCAGCTGTCTGAATTTGTGTGAAGGCGAAGCGGGGGGGGGCATGGGCAAGTTTCAGCGGAGGGTGCAGAGTTGGTGGCCGGGGTAGTGGTAGCCAGATGGAAAGCATGGCCAGCTGTAGCAAAATGCTTGTTGAAATTCTCGATTATTGTAGATTTATCGGTGGTGATAGTGTTTCCTAGCCTCAGTGCAGTGGGCAACTGGGAGGAAGTGCTCTTATTCTCCATGGACTTTACAGTGTCCCAAAACTTTTTGGAGTTAGTGCTACAGGATGCAAATTTCTGTTTGAAAAAGTTTGCCTTTGCTTTCCTGACTGCTTGTGTATATTGGTTCCTAACTTCCCTGAAAAGTTGCATATCGCGGGGGCTATTTGATGCTAATGCAGTACGCCACAGGATGTTTTTGTGCTGGTCAAGGGCAGTCAAGTCTGAGGAGAACCAGGGGCTATATCGGTTCTTAGTTCTGTATTTTTTGAATGGGGCATGTTTATTTAAGATTGAGAGGAAATTACTTTTAAGGAACAACCAGGCATCCTCTACTGACGGAATGAGATCTATATCCATCCAGGATACCTGGGCCAGGTCAATTAGGAAGGCCTGCTCGCTAAAGTGTTTTAGGATGTGTTTGACAGTGATGAGGGGTGGTCGTTTGACCGCGGACCCATTACGGACGCAGGCAATAAGGCAGTGATCGCTGAGATCCTGGTTGAAGACAGCTGAGGTGTATTTAGAGGGTATGTTAGTCAGGATGATATCTATGAGGGTACCCATGTTTACGGATTTAGGGTTGTACCTGGTAGGTTCGTTGATAATTTGCGTGAGGTTGAGGGCATCTAGTTTGGATTGTAGGATGGCCGGGGTATTAAGCATATCCCAATTTAGGTCACCAAGCAGTACGAACTCTGAGGATAAATGGGGGGCAATCAATTCACATATGGTGTCCAGGGCACATCTGGGGGCTGAGGGGGGTCTGTAGCAAGCGGCAACAGTGAGAGACTTATTTCTGGAAAGGTGGATTTTTAGAAGTAGAAGCTCAAACTGTTTGGGCACAGACCTGGATAGTATGATAGAGCTCTGCAGGCTATCTCTACAGTAGATTGCAACTCCACCCCCTTTGGCAGTTCTATCTAGACGGAAAATGTTATAGTTGGGGATGGACATTTCAGAATTTTTGGTTGCCTTCCTGAGCCAGGATTCAGACACTGCTAGAACATCAGGGTTGGCGGAGTGGGCTAACGCAGTGAATAACTCAAACTTAGGAAGTAGACTTCTGATGTTTACGTGCAAGAAACCAAGACTTTTGCGATTACAGAAGTCAGCAAATGATAGCGCCTGGGGAGTAGGAGTGATACTGAGGGCTGCAGGGCCTGGGTTATAATAATATAATAATATGCCATTTAGCAGACGCTTTTATCCAAAGCGACTTACAGTCATGCGTGCATACATTTTTTTTTTTGTGTATGGGTGGTCCCGGGGATCGAACCCACTACCCAGGGTTAGCCTCTACATCACCAGAGGAACAGAGGAGGACTAGAATAAGGATACGGCTAAAGGCTTTAAGAACTGGTCTTCTAGTGCGTTGGGTACATAGAATAAAGGGGGCAGATTTCCGGGTGTTGTAGAAAAGATTCAGGGCATTATGTACAGACAAGGATATGGAAGGATATGAGTAAAGTGGGGGTAAACCTAAGCGTTGGGTAACAATGAAAGAGATAGTATCACTAGAGGCATCAATTGAGTCGGTCTCTGCGTGTATGGGGGGTGGGACAAAGGAGCTATCTACGGCAGGTTTAGCTGGGCTGGGGGGATCTACAGTGAAATAGTACAATTAGAAATAACCGAAACAACAATAAGCTAACCATGTTTGGGCTGAGGCTAAACATAAACAGGATGTAGTACCGTAAAAAGGAACAGTCCAGCAGACATCAGCTGTATAGCTGAGTTATCATAAGGTCCGGTGAACAGCAATAGGATAGTTCGGAGGCTGCTAAAGCACTAGCAGGTAAGAGGCCACGGCTAGCGTGTGCTAGCGGGCCGGGGCTAGCAGATGGAATCTTCGTGGTCGACGTCGTCGTAACCACATCAGACGATTTCGTCGGCAGACCAGTCGTGTAGGATCAGCGGGGCTCCGTGTCAACACTAGGTGGTCCCGTCCGGTTGACAGAGAGGTAGATAGCCGGGAGATGGGCCTAGCTCAGGATGATTAGCCAGACCACAGCGTCCATTTAGTTGAAGCTAGCTGGTAGCGATGAATCCGGAGTTAAAGGTCCAGTGATTCAGGCAGAAAAACTGATATGTTCTGGGTCGATAACGCGCTGTGCAGACTGGCCGAATATCCGGTGATTAATATCCAGTGATTAAATTAATCCTGCAGAAGAAAAAAAAATCCAATGTTCTGGGTGAAATACCGCTAACTGTGGCTAATAGCAAGTAGCTAGTTAGCTGGCTAGCTAGTTTCAACTGGAGATTCTATATAAAAGGTAAGTCAATAATAGAATCCGTTCCACATTGAGTGAGGCGGGTTGCAGGAAAGTATATTTTGTAGAAGGATGAAAAGTCTGATAGGGAAATATGTACGAAAAATACAAAAAAAAAACAGGGTATTTACAGGCTATTTACAGACACACGACAAAAACAGAACTGCACTACTTCGCCATCTTGGATAAACTGGTGTGTGTGTGTGTGTGTGCGCGTGTGTGTGTGCGTGTGTGTGTGAAAACAACATTGAGCGAGTATAATAATGGCGGTGAAGTAGACATGACCTCAGTGTGCAACAACGTGACCCTCTGAACACAAATGAGCATAGCGTGCTTTTATCCAGAGCAGAAAGCTAGCGACTGCAGCTGGTATTCTGTTCTGGTGGGCCCCCAGTCCAGTCACCGTTGCAGCCTGGTAGAAGAAGTAGGCCGTTCCAATCCATCCATTTCCAAAAGTTCAACTCAACTTCCAAAGACATTCATTTAAAAACTAGAATTGGTTTGGATACTTGCCCCCCATTACGCTTGAATATGAAAAGGCGAAATGCATCATAAATCACTAAATATGTGTCCTTGCAATGCTGGACGATAGATGGGTTGATCATGCTTCAATAATAATACTACCACAATGTTGTCCCAGTACACAGTAAGCAGTGTTTTCCATAAGCGCCGGCAGTCGGCTAAATAACCGATAACAGACTCGTTGTAAGCCGGCTACTTTTTCCACTTCGTTAAATTAACTAGGCTTCTTTTTATTGAAAAGTTTCAATTCGCTAAATCAGAAAAGTCTGTCTAGCCAGCTCCCGCTAGAATGAACAATATGCATCTTCTAGTGATCTACTGATAGGACAGGGGGCCTGTCATTCACAAAGCGAGCGATGACAGGGAAACTGCTGGTTTGTCAGTCTTCTGTCTGTCCCGCCTCCCAGAACCTTTGTTATTTTTGTACGCTGTGGTTGGCTGCAGGCTTCTTCATCGTCCCCTGTGAGTGAATTTACACATTCCCTGTAGGCTAATTTAATTGGTAAAGATGAGTTGAAATCCACGTAATGTTTTATTTTATTTCGCGTGTTTCATAGGACTATACAGCCACGGAGTCGGTGTGCCAAGCTTATAGAGACATACCTCAAGAGACCTGCAGCTGTAATTGCTGCAAAAGGTGGCTCTACAAAGTATTGACTTTAATTCCAGGTTGTAAGGCAACAAAATAGGAAAAATGCCAAGGGGGGTGAATACTTTCGCAAGCCATTGTATATGTCCATGGTATCGCATCAGGACAGTAAACCAAAGACCTTTGTTTGTATTTTCCTAGGATTCAAAGCCCATGTCGAGACTGGCCAGTGACCGCTAAAGTGACTTGTCAGTGTAGCTTAGTGATGGGTTGTTCGCGAACAAACGGCTCTTTTTGAACTGATCTTTTAGGTGAACTTCGGGAACCGAATCGCATCGGTGAGAGAGCCGTTCATTTGGCTCCCTAATTTGCATACTGGTAGGCTACTACTGCTTTTTGCCGATAATCTGCAGATAAATTATGAAAACATTCGATGAAGATGTTGAATCCTCACTGCAGGAACAGTAGGTAGCGCATAGAGAGCCTCCTTCCGGTCCAAAATATGGCAAAAGAAAACAGATGAAAGGTTATAAAAGCTAATGGTACGTATACGGTATTATTAAAGATAACGATAAAGGTCTACTGATTTGATTCAAATTTCGACTATGGAGTAGCAACACCTGCTTTCTGTGTAGCAAAGCCCACGTTTAACACCTGCTTCATTCTTCCATCATACTTGTAAGTCTATTCATGGGCCCCTGGCTTTGTATAAAAGTGGGTTTGTACAATCTGGTGGGGGGTCCTACCCCTGAATATGTTTGCATTTCTAAAAAAACAATTTTCCTGCAATTATATATTGTTTCTCAGCAGGGAATCCATGTTTACTTGACAGAACACAATATTTTTTTCTTAGGTTTTTTGCCACGATAAATGTAGACTGGTTTTTCAGACTAGATTACTAATCTACCACCTTCCATCAAAGTCCCACCCACAGTGATTGATTGACAGGTCACAGTGATTGATTGACAGGTCGGGAACCCTACCAATTCCTTGAGTCACAAACATCCTGCCCCCTCCCCTGACAAGCCCACACACAGTGATTGATTGACAGGCCAAACTGTTAAAGGGATAGTTCACCCAAATTACAAAATGACACATTGGTTTCCTTCCCCTGAGTGTCCACAGCAGCAGAGCTAATAAAATACATCATTTGAAGAACAAACATCATTGTGGCCATTCATATCTGGTAGTAAAGCTGTAAATATGACTTGAATCTCAAGAGAAGACAGGTTTCATGTTATGATGTCGTCTTACTTGTAAGATAGTCCTGATGATATAGGTCTAGGCCTCGACGATATCCAAAACAACAACACACTGAACTCGTACATTTTCTGTCATTTTAATTGTAAAGTCATGTCTTTCTACTCAATACAATAACTCATTTTACCGATCTGGGAGGAAAAGTCGTTAAAGTATTCAAGAATTTAGCTGTGTGTTTCGGATGGAATCAAAGGCATTAGAATGTACCAGAGGCCACCAAAATAGAGCTTGTTCTGCAAAACAAATTCCCCGGGGGGTATGCCACCCCCGGACCCCCCCACCCCGGAACATTAGGCCCTAATCTATGGATTTCACATGACTGGGATTACAGATATGCATCTGTTGGTCACAGATACCTTAAAAAAAAGGAAGGGGCGTGGATCAGAAAACCAGTCAGTATCTGGTGTGACCATCATTTGCCTCATGCAGCGCGACACATCTCCTTCTCATAGAATTGATCAGGCTGTTGATTGTGGCCTGTGGAATGTTGTCCCACTCCTCTTCAATGGCTGTGCAAAGTTGATGGATATTGGCGGGAACTGGAACACGCTGTCATACACGTCAATCCAGAGCATCCCAAACACGCTCAATTGGTGACATGTCTGGTGAGTATGCAGACCATGGAAGAACTGGGACATTTTCAGCTTCCAGGAACTGTGTACAGATCCTTGTGACATGGGGCAGTGCATTATCATGCTGAAACATGAGGTGATGGAGGCGGATGAATGGCTCGACAATGGGCCTCAGGATCTCGACACGGTATCTCTGTGCATTCAACTTGCCACCGATAAAATGCTATTGTTTTTGTTGTGTTTAGCTTATGCCTGCCCATACCGTAACCCCACCGCCACCATGGTGCACTCTGTTCACAACATTGACATCAGCACAAACCACTCGCCCACGTGGTCTGTGGTTGTGAGGCCGGTTGGACGTATTGCCAAATTCTCTAAAACGACGTTGGAGGCAGCTTATGGTAGAGAAATTAACATTAAATTATCTGGCAACAGCTCTAGTGGACATTCCTTCAGTCAGCAATATATATTTTCTGTAGTATTTTTGACTTTATGTTTTTTTACCCCATCTGTAACTCTGTGTTGTTTTTATCGCACTGCTTTGCTTTATCTTGGCCAGGTCGCAGTTGTAAATAAGAACTTGTTCTCAACTGGCTTACCTGGTTAAATAAAGGTGAAATAAAATAAAAAATCCAATTGCACGCTCCCTCAAAAACTTGAGACATCTGTGGCATTGTGTTGTGACAAAACTGCACATTTTAGTTTCCTTTTATTGTCCCCAGCAGAAAGGGCACCTGCGTAATGATCATGCTGTTTAATTAGATTCTTCATATGCCACACCTGTCAGGTGGATGGATTATCTTGACAAAGGATAAATGCTCGCTAACAGGGATGTGAAATAAGCTTTTCGTGCGTATGGAACATTTCTGGGATCTTTTATTTCAGCTCATGAAACATGGGACCAACACTTTACATGTTGCGTTTATATTTTTGTTCATTATAGCTAGGTCTCATGAGAGTAATTGAGATAATGTCTCCCATCTCAGTGGACTAGCTGGTAGTTAGTTACCATTTGAAAGATAGCCTGGACATTTGGTTGATCCTCTTTCCACACTGGTGGATGCATAATGCATCACAAGCATTAAAGCAGTGCAATAACCAGTCATTGGTTGGATCCAGTGTATATCATGGCTATTAAATCACAATCCCAGGTAGTGAAACGATCTAGACTATTAATACAAATACCTTAATAGACCTTCAAAAAGAGACAGCCATGATTAGGCCTAAGCAATAGCATGTTGCGTTTATATTTTTGTTGTATTAGGCTACATTACGAGACCTAGCTACATTGAAACACACTGAGTGTATTAGGCTACATTAACCTCTAATACTGCAACGATTCAAACCGTCACAACAGGGAAGGTCTTTAGGAGCAAGGAAAAATAACAAAACGATCCTTGGGGACACCTTAGGGTAAATCTGGGCTATAAATATCTAGACCTACACGGCAGCAGCAGAGTTCCTATGGCAGCGTCATCTGACATGCGTTCTCCCAGGAACTTCTCCAGATTAACACTGTGGGGTAGAAAGCCACAGGGAGACCTGGCACACAACAGGACATTTGAGGGCACAGCGGCACACCGCTGCAGCTGTGTGTTGAAACACACCTAATAAACTCCACCAGGTAATGCTAACACCACAACGCTTGAGACAATGTTTGATTTTTTTTGGTTTCGAAGATCTCTTGTTTTTTCGTAACTAAATCGAGGCAACTCACCGGCTACCTCATAAACAACAAGTAGCAGGCTGAGAATTGCAGCTGAACACCCACAACATACTACCAACCACTCCCCCAACATGATGGATGTTTAGTTGCAAGTTCCATGTCAAGTACCCATTGGGCATCAGTGCTGATCAACAGCAGACAGTAGTGATAATCACTGCCGATGTGATTGTAACGAGACTGGCTGGGCTGTTGCTGTGTTAATGGTGGGAAAGGGAAAGGGGGATACCTAGTCAGTTGTACAACTGAACGCATTCAACTGAAACGTGTCTTCTGCGTATAACCCAACCCCTCTGAATCAGAGAGGTGCGGAGGGGGGGGGGGGGGGGGGGGGGGCTGTCTTTGAGCCATTACATTGGCCAAGTGTCCCTTGACATCTTAGAGCCATTACATTGGCCAAGTGTCCCTTGACATCTTAGAGCCATTACATTGGCCAGGTGTCCCTTGACATCTTAGAGCCATTACATTGGCCAGGTGTCCCTTGACATCTTAGAGCCATTACATTGGCCAGGTGTTCCTTGAAAAAATTGCTATTTTGGCTTCAGCTTCACACCACAACTAAAGGCTTCAGCTTCACACCACAACTAAAGGCTTCAGCTTCACACCACAACTAAAGGCTTCAGCTTCACGCCACAACTAAAGGCTTCAGCTTCACACCACAACTAAAGGCTTCAGCTTCACGCCACAACTAAAGGCTTCAGCTTCACGCCACAACTAAAGGCTTCAGCTTCACGCCACAACTAAAGGCTTCAGCTTCACGCCACAACTAAAGGCTTCAGCTTCACGCCACAACTAAATGGGCTAACATTTAAGTCCCCATAAACTGACCCTAAATAAGAATTCTAATTCACTGTTTACAATACTGGAACAGTGGACACAGCTACCTCAACTAGCCGGTGCCCCCGCACATTGACTCTGCAACGGTACCCCCCTGTATAATAATAATAATAATAATAATAATAATAATAATAATAATATGCCATTTAGTGCCTCCTTACTGTTACTTTATTTTACTTCTGCTCTTTTTTTCTCAACACTTTTTTTGTTGTTGTTTTATTTTTATATTTATACTACTCTACAACAGACAGGGGGCCACTACTCTACAACAGACAGGGGGGGCCACTACTCTACAACAGACAGGGGGGGCCACTACTCTACAACAGACAGGGGGGGGCCACTACTCTACAACAGATGGGGGGGGGCCACTACTCTACAACAGACAGGGGGGGCCACTACTCTACAACAGACAGGGGGGGGCCACTACTCTACAACAGACAGGGGGGGGCCACTACTCTACAACAGATGGGGGGGGGCCACTACTCTACAACAGACAGGGGGGGGGCCACTACTCTACAACAGATGGGGGGGGCCACTACTCTACAACAGATGGGGGGGGCCACTACTCTACAACAGACAGGGGGGGCCACTACTCTACAACAGACAGGGGGGGGCCACTACTCTACAACAGACAGGGGGGGGGGGGGGGGGGGGCACTACTCTACAACAGACAGGGGGGGGGGGGGCACTACTCTACAACAGACAGGGGGGGCCACTACTCTACAACAGACAGGGGGGGGGGCCACTACTCTACAACAGACAGGGGGGCCACTACTCTACAACAGACAGGGGGGGGGGGCACTACTCTACAACAGACAGGGGGGCCACTACTCTACAACAGACAGGGGGGGGGGGGGGGGGGCACTACTCTACAACAGACAGGGGGGGGGGGGGGAGCACTACTCTACAACAGACAGGGGGGGGGGGGGGGGGGCACTACTCTACAACAGACAGGGGGGGCCACTACTATTTTCAATACCGAAAAAAGTAAATTATATAATTCATATATACACACTACCGGTGTGTTTTAGAACACCTACTCATTCAAGGGTTTTTCTTTATTTTTTACTATTTTCTACATTGTAACTACATCAAAACGATTAAATAACATATATGGAAACATGTAGTAACCAAAAAAGTGTTAAACAAAACCTACTGTTTCAGATGAATCTTCCATACAGGGAACCTACTGTTTCAGATGAATCTTCCATACAGGGAACCTACTGTTTCAGATGAATCTTCCATACAGGGAACATACTGTTTCAGTTGAATCTTCCATACAGGGAACATACTGTTTCAGTTGAATCTTCCATACAGGGAACCTACTGTTTCAGATTAATCTTCCTGACAATCTCTAATATATGTCTCAAAACCAAGAGATGACAGGTGGTTGTTAAAGCATGAAGAAAAGGTTAGTGTGATTATCTGGATACACAGAGGGATGACTATGTATGATGTGCGCTGAATCAATGTGTGTGTGTGGGTTGAATCTCTGTGTGTGTGTGTGTGTGTGTGTGTGTGTGTGTGTGTGTGTGTGGGGGGGGGGGGTGCTGTATAAGATTGACATCCTCCCTAGGGACTCCTGGGGAAGCGGTGCAGACTACAGACCCAAGGAAAGCCTTGATGAGATCCAGCCCCACTGGGATCAATACATATTACTTCCCCTTGTGCTGCTGACCACCATTAAACACTCACAAGTGCAACCACACACACACGCACACACGCACACGCTAAGCCGCATAGACAATGAGACAATCCACTAGGACTTTGCTGCCCAGTAAATGACTACAGTAACCAAATACAACAGCAGTCACAATGGGCCAATAACATTCTCTAGGTATCGCAGTCTCACAAAGGACAGTCTAAAGGTGATTCAATTGAACAAGTCCCTAATTTGTTGAGTGCCTCTTACCTCCCTCGCTGGCTACTTTAATTAAACTCATGAAATTAGAGGAGTAGGAATGGGACATCAATATGTTATTGAGATCAGAGTGAATTCAGAGAATAGGCTAGAAGACTGCAGACCACACAAAGCTTATTCTGTACACCATGTACAGGGACCAGAGTAGGACAGGTTCCAGAGTAGGACAGGGACCAGAGTAGGACAGGGACCAGAGTAGGACAGGGACCAGAGTAGGACAGGGACCAGAGTAGGACAGGGACCAGAGTAGAACAGGGACCAGAGTAAGACAGGGACCAGAGTAGGACAGGGACCAGAGTAGGACAGGGACCAGAGTAGGACAGGGACCAGAGTAGGACAGGGACCAGAGTAGGACAGGGACCAGAGTAGGACAGGGACCAGAGTAGGACAGGGACCAGAGTAGAACAGGGACCAGAGTAGGACAGGGACCAGAGTAGGACAGGGACCAGAGTAGGACAGGGACCAGAGTAGGACAGGTTCCAGAGTAGGACAGGGACCAGAGTAGGAACAGGGACCAGAGTAGGACAGGGGACCAGAGTGGACAGGTTCCAGAGTAGGGACCAGGGACCAGAGTAGGACAGGGACCAGAGTAGGACAGGGACCAGAGTAGGACCCAGAGTAGACAGGGACCAGAGTAGGACAGGGACCAGGTAGGACAGGACCAGAGTAGGACAGGGACCAGAGTAAGGGACAGGGACCAAGTACGAAAGGAACAGGGACCAGGTAGGGACAGGGACCAGAGTAAGACAGGGACCAGAGTAAGACAAGGGACCAGAGTAGGACAGGGACCAGAGTAAGACAGGGACCAGAGTAGGACAGGGACCAGAGTAGGACAGGGACCAGAGTAGGACAGGGACCAGAGTAGGACAGGGACCAGAGTAGGACCCAGAGTAAGACAGGGACCAGAGTAGGACAGGGACCAGAGTAGGACAGGGACCAGAGTAAGACAGGGACCAGAGTAAGACAGGGACCAGAGTAGGACAGGGACCAGAGTAGGACAGGGACCAGAGTAGGACAGGGACCAGAGTAGGACAGGGACCAGAGTAGGACAGGGACCAGAGTAGGACAGGGACCCAGAGTAGGACAGGGACCAGTGTTAGGACAGGGACCAGAGTAGGACAGGGACCAGAGTAGGACAGGGACCAGGAGTAGGACAGGGACCAGAGTAAGGACAGGGACCCAGAGTAAGACAGGGACCCAGAGTAGGGACAGGGACCAGAGTAGACAGGTTCCAGAGTAGGACAGGGACCAGAGTAGGACAGGGACCAGAGTAAGACAGGGACCAGAGTAGGACAGGGACCAGAGTAGGACAGGGACCAGAGTAGGACAGGGACCAGAGTAGGACAGGGACCAGAGTAGGACAGGGACCAGAGTAGGACAGGGACCAGAGTAGGACAGGGACCAGAGTAGGACAGGGACCAGAGTAGGACCCAGAGTAGGACAGGGACCAGAGTAGGACCCAGAGTAGGACAGGGACCAGAGTAGGACAGGGACCAGAGTAGGACAGGGACCAGAGTAGGACAGGGACCAGAGTAGGACCCAGAGTAGGACAGGGACCAGAGTAGGACCCAGAGTAGGACAGGGACCAGAGAGCCATAGGAAGGGTACATCTCTAATTTAGCAGCAAGCCTGACTGCCACAGCAAGTGTTCTGTCTAGGCTGCAATTCCCCCACCAACTCCCCCAAAGCACTCCTCTTCAGAGAGCAATCTCCCATGGTTACGGGAATGCAGCAGTAGATCCTACACAGCACAGCATACCAGAGTATGCCACATGTTCCCTGAACCAATAGAGCCTTGGCTTCTTGCTCTACTTCATGAATTATTCATGACCCACCATTGGAAAAGCTGTGATGTCAAAGATTCCAGTGCAGTGTCCTGTTTCTTGGTTGCTACGGTGATACGGCAGTTCAGTTCACAGACCAAGATAGAAGAAGAAAGGCTTCAGCTTCACACCACAACTAAAGGCTTCAGCTTCACGCCACAACTAAAGGCTTCAGCTTCACACCACAACTAAAGGCTTCAGCTTCACGCCACAACTAAAGGCTTCAGCTTCACGCCACAACTAAAGGCTTCAGCTTCACGCCACAACTAAAGGCTTCAGCTTCACGCCACAACTAAAGGCTTCAGCTTCACACCACAACTAAAGGCTTCAGCTTCACGCCACAACTAAAGGCTTCAGCTTCACACCACAACTAAAGGCTTCAGCTTCACGCCACAACTAAAGGCTTCAGCTTCACGCCACAACTAAAGGCTTCAGCTTCACACCACAACTAAAGGCTTCAGCTTCACACCACAACTAAAGGCTTCAGCTTCACGCCACAACTAAAGGCTTCAGCTTCACGCCACAACTAAAGGCTTCAGCTTCACACCACAACTAAAGGCTTCAGCTTCACGCCACAACTAAAGGCTTCAGCTTCACGCCACAACTAAAGGCTTCAGCTTCACGCCACAACTAAAGGCTTCAGCTTCACGCCACAACTCAAGGCTTCAGCTTCACGCCACAACTAAAGGCTTCAGCTTCACGCCACAACTAAAGGCTTCAGCTTCACGCCACAACTAAAGGCTTCAGCTTCACACCACAACTAAAGGCTTCAGCTTCACGCCACAACTAAAGTCTTCAGCTTCACACCACAACTAAAGTCTTCAGCTTCACACCACAACTAAAGGCTTCAGCTTCACGCCACAACTAAAGGCTTCAGCTTCACGCCACAACTAAAGGCTTCAGCTTCACACCACAACTAAAGGCTTCAGCTTCACACCACAACTAAAGGCTTCAGCTTCACGCCACAACTAAAGGCTTCAGCTTCACGCCACAACTAAAGGCTTCAGCTTCACGCCACAACTAAAGGCTTCAGCTTCACACCACAAACTAAAGGCTTCAGCTTCACGCCACAACTAAAGGCTTCAGCTTCACGCCACAACTAAAGGCTTCAGCTTCACGCCACAACTAAAGGCTTCAGCTTCACGCCACAACTAAAGGCTTCAGCTTCACACCACAACTAAAGGCTTCAGCTTCACGCCACAACTAAAGGCTTCAGCTTCACGCCACAACTAAAGGCTTCAGCTTCACGCCACAACTAAAGGCTTCAGCTTCACGCCACAACTAAAGGCTTCAGCTTCACACCACAACTAAATGGGCTAACATTTAAGTCCCCATAAACTGACCCTAAATAAGAATTCTAATTCACTGTTTACAATACTGGAACAGTGGACACAGCTAAACCTCAATGCCTGGTATTGGTGCCACTACTCTACAACAGACAGGGGGCCACTACTCTACAACAGACAGGGGGGCCACTACTCTACAACAGACAGGGGGGCCACTACTCTACAACAGACAGGGGGGCCACTACTCTACAACAGACAGGGGGGCCACTACTCTACAACAGACAGGGGGGCCACTACTCTACAACAGACAGGGGGGCCACTACTCTACAACAGACAGGGGGGGCCACTACTCTACAACAGACAGGGGGGCCACTACTCTACAACAGACAGGGGGGCCACTACTCTACAACAGACAGGGGTGCCACTACTCTACAACAGACAGGGGGGCCACTACTCTACAACAGACAGGGGGGCCACTACTCTACAACAGACAGGGGGGCCACTACTCTACAACAGACAGGGGGGCCACTACTCTACAAACAGACGGGGGGGCCACTACTCTACAACAGACAGGGGGGCCACTACTCTACAACAGACGGGGGGGCCACTACTCTACAAACAGACGGGGGGGCCACTACTCTACAACAGACGGGGGGGCCACTACTCTACAACAGACAGGGGGCCACTACTCTACAACAGACAGGGGTCCACTACTCTACAACAGACAGGGGGGCCACTACTCTACAACAGACAGGGGGGGGGGGGGCACTACTCTACAACAGACGGGGGGGGGGCACTACTCTACAACAGACAGGGGGTGGGGCACTACTCTACAACAGACAGGGGGTCCACTACTCTACAACAGACAGGGGGGCCACTACTCTACAACAGACAGGGGGCCACTACTCTACAACAGACAGGGGGGCCACTACTCTACAACAGACAGGGGGGCCACTACTCTACAACAGACAGGGGGGCCACTACTCTACAACAGACAGGGGGGGCCACTATTCTACAACAGACAGGGGGGCCACTACTCTACAACAGACAGGGGGGGGGGGGGGCACTACTCTACAACAGACAGGGGGGTGGGGCACTACTCTACAACAGACAGGGGGTCCACTACTCTACAACAGACAGGGGGGCCACTACTCTACAACAGACAGGGGGCCACTACTCTACAACAGACAGGGGGGCCACTACTCTACAACAGACAGGGGGCCACTACTCTACAACAGACAGGGGGGCCACTACTCTACAAACAGACAGGGGGCCACTATTCTACAACAGACAGGGGGGGGGGGGGGGCGCGGCACTACTCTATAACAGACAGGGGGGGGGCACTACTCTACAACAGACGGGGGGGGGCACTACTCTACAACAGATGGGGGGGGCACTACTCTACAAACAGACAGGGGGGCACTACTCTACAACAGACAGGGGGGGGGGGGGCGCACTACTCTACAACAGACAGGGGGGGGGGGGGGGGGGGGGGGCACTACTCTATAACAGACAGGGGGGGGTCACTACTCTACAACAGATGGGGGGGGCACTACTCTACAACAGATGGGGGGGGGCACTACTCTATAACAGACAGGGGGCCACTACTCTACAACAGACAGGGGGGGGGGGCACTACTCTACAACAGACAGGGGGGGGCCACTACTCTACAACAGACAGGGGGGGGGGGGCACTACTCTACAACAGATGGGGGGGGGGGCACTACTCTACAACAGATGGGGGGGGCACTACTCTATAACAGACAGGGGGGGGCCACTACTCTACAACAGATGGGGGGGGGCACTACTCTACAACAGATGGGGGGGGCACTACTCTACAACAGACAGGGGGGGGCCACTACTCTACAACAGATGGGGGGGGGCACTACTCTACAACAGATGGGGGGGGCACTACTCTATAACAGACAGGGGGGGGCCACTACTCTACAACAGATGGGGGGGGCACTACTCTACAACAGACAGGGGGGCCACTACTCTACAACAGACAGGGGGTCCACTACTCTACAACAGACAGGGGGGGGCCACTACTCTACAACAGACAGGGGGCACTACTCTACAACAGATGGGGGGGCACTACTCTACAACAGATGGGGGGGGGCCACTACTCTACAACAGATGGGGGGGGGGCACTACTCTACAACAGATGGGGGGGGCACTACTCTATAACAGACAGGGGGGGGCCACTACTCTACAACAGATGGGGGGGGCACTACTCTACAACAGACAGGGGGGCCACTACTCTACAACAGACAGGGGGGGGGCACTACTCTACAACAGATGGGGGGGTGTCTGACTCTGCGTCTGACTGTGGACAGGCGCTCACTATTTACCTGGCGGCTGTTGCGCTGGGATGAGGATGAGGAGGAGGAGCTCTTGTGTGTAGGCGTCTTGTGGTGGCGGACGGGCGTGGTGCACCTCTCCTCGGCGCTCATTGTGCGGTGGCTGCCCTGGCTGGGGTTCCTGTGGTGGTGTTGGGACATGGTTCCCCTCCCTCTCTGTGAGTAGCTCCCTGATTGGACAGGACTGTCTGTTCCTTCCTCAGCAGCAGCTCCAGGGCGTGTGGGTGAACAGCATTATCTCAGGCAGTTATGCAGTTATGGATTCCCCCCCCCCGGCTCACACTCCTCTCATCTGCAGCACAGACAAAGAGACAGAGAGACATTCAGACAGGAAACAAGACATTAGACTACGTTATGTTCACCCCTCCTCACCTCACTGTTTGCATCAACATAGCCAGTAACACTTGTCAAAATAAATCAAGAAATCTATCATTAATTGAAGTCTTTGCCAACGAGGATCTTAGACGTGCAATTTTACATCTAACTAATGTTTGGTGCAGTATTTTTCAAGTGAAAGAATGTGCATGAAAACTAGTCGTCTCGTTGAATGACAAGAAACACTTCATTGAAGAATCCCGTCAATAGTTCCCACTCCTACTAGGGGTAGTACTGTTGACCAATCACCGATGAAGGGGCGTAGACTTCAGCTACTGAACATAAGACTTCCCTCAAGAAAATGTTTTGTGCGCAAGAACAGCCGAAGCAATACCTGCCAAAGATCAAAAACGAACAAAAAGGTCACAAAATGTCATCATAATATATGTAAACTTTTTAGACTGGGAAGCATATTGTAAGATTTAGCGTTTGGGCCTCTGCCAAATTTCTGAACCAATCCACCAATCTAAATACGCTACCCGAGCCAGCAGCAGACAGCAGAGACTCGATTAAATGGGTAATTTTAGAAACCTGGATTTTACACCGTTCTTCTCTAGTTACAGTTTGCATCAGTTTGTGTTACCTTTAGCCTTTAATGATGATGTTTGTTATGGTGAGACATGTGACGTGCTCTACATGTCACTCATAATCCACCCTGGAGTGCAGTGGTCTCTGGTCTCCATCACTGCTCTGCATGTCTCGGTCTCCCACACAGTAGAACTGTCTCATCGCCCTTGTCTCAGACAGAGACGAGACACAGGACACCC